TTTGGTACTGGCACAATGCAGGATGTTTTCCACAGAGCAGGTACCTGCCCCAGCTGTAGACTCAAGTTGAAGATCCTGTGGAGAGATTGACACAGTTCTGCAGCACAGTCTTTAAGCAGCCTTGGACACACACCATCTGGACCAGCTGCCTTCCCAGGGCAAAGTCTTCCAAGCTCCAACCTCACCCCTGTTTCGGTGACAGATAAGGACTGGTGTTCGAGGAGGGAGGTAGTTGAAGTGGTTGTGATATTTGAATGAGATGGACGAGGAAGGGGAGAAGTTGTCATGGAGATTTGTTGCGGAGAGAAAGGTGGGGTAGCAGTGGAGGTGGATGTGACAGCAGTGTCAAATCTGTGAAAGAACAGGATGAGTTCATCAGCTCTTTCCACATCAGCCACTATTGGCTGTCTTTTCTTTTTATTGCTGCGTCCAGAGATCGTACTGATTCCTCTCCACACTTCACGGATGTTTCTGTGTTGTAGATTCCTCTCTATCTTCTTTTTGTATTCCAGCTTTGCCATCTTCAGTCTCCTCTTCAACTCTTGTTGCACTTGTTTGAGTTGTTTTTTGTCACCATCTCTAAAAGATTTCTTTTTCTGGTTAAGGTTTGCTTTTATGTCACTTGTGATCCAGGGTTTGTTGTTGGGGAAACAGCGAACAGTTTTTGTCGGTATAACTGTGTCTCTACATAAGTTGATGTGTTTAGTAAAGCAGTCAACCTGTCTGTCAATGTTAATACTATCCACATCTGTTTTGAGCAGCACATTCCAGTCTGTTGATTTAAAACAGTCCCTTAGAGCTTGAGGTATCCGTCTTCTGATTTTGACTTTAGTCACAGGCTGCCTCAGCACACAAGGTTTGTAAAAGGTCTGCAGATAGACCAAGTTATGATCTGACCTGCCTAGTGGTGGTAAAGCAGTGACTCTGTAGGTTTCTTTGTTGTTGGCATACAGCAGATCCAGGGTCTTGTTTTTTCTCTGGTAGGACAGTTTACAAACTGTGTGAATCCAGTCAGCTGAGAGGAGAGGGTGACATGGTTGAAGTCTCCTGATATCATTATTAGTGCCTCAGGGTGTTGAGTTTGCAGCCTAGCAACACTATTATGCATAAGATCGCATGGAATTTCTGTAGTTGACTTGGGTGGGATGTAAACAAGAATTGTTATGATTAGACTAAATTCTCTAAATATGGCCGAAGAGCAACTGCCAACAATTCAATATCTGGACAACACAACTTCTCCTGGACAGTTATGTGTGAAGGATAACACCATCTCTGGTTGACAAATAAAGCCAGACCTCCTCCTTTCTTCTTGCCACTAGCCTGAGCATCTCTGTCTGACCTTATGAGAGTGAAGCCAGGTAGATCCACACTGGAGTCCGAGTTGTTTTGATTTAACCAGGTTTCAGTAAAACACAGGAGACTGCACTATCTCCAGCTCATTGCTTTTGTTGGGCAGAGAGTAGACGTTTCATCATTACTGATGGCAGGAAGGGTTTATATCTCCAACTCCTCATTCAGCTTTGCTTTCGCCTCTGCACCAGCACAGCAACCATGATAACACCTCCTGATGTCCTCTAGGATTGGATGTTATTGTCCAGATTTGCTCTGTCTCAATAAAACGAGCTCTTCTCTTGCAAAAACTCTTCCCCCAGTAGGAGTATTCAGCAGCAGCCAACAATACACACACACACACACACACACACACACACACACACACACACACACACACACACATATTTACAGAGAGACTAGACTAGTGTGCTTGACCCTAAATAAATTTTACACCAGAGTATCTCTTTAATGTTTGATGGTGTTTTTAATGATGAGATGGAGTAATTAACACCGGACAGTGTAATTTAAATACATCTGGTGTTATTTACAGTATGTCAGACAGTGTTATTAATGTTTGATGGTGTTATTCATGTTCAGATGGTTATTTTTATGTTTTACTGTGTTATTCAATGTTCAGATGGTGTTATTAATGTTTTATGGTGTTATTTTATGCAGGCTGGGTTATTAACACTCAGATGGTGTTATTCGTGTTCAGATGGTGTAATTAACATATGTTTGGTGTTATTAATGTTCAGATAGTAGAGCAGACAAATGCATAATAGCCCGAATCGTTCACTTTGTTATACAAGCATGAAATTTGGTACATATACTCGTCAAACCCCACTCTTTTCAAAAATAACGTTAGCCACGCAAAATTCTAAGATGGCGGCCCCAAAATCCAAGATGTCCGCCTCAAAAATTTGGTTTTTCCTTTATAACTCAAAATGCCTTGATTTTAAGCCCCATACATATATTGAAGTTGAATATAAAGTTGTGTATTGCAGACATTTTGGTACCTAGTACATCTCTGTATCCATTACGGTTCTTGAGATACAGCATATAGATACTTGTACAGTAATCCATGCCTTTGTTACATCTCGGCTGGATTACTGTAACGCACTTTATTTTGGAGTCAGCCAGTCCTCCCTCTCATGTCTCCAGTTAGTTCAAAACACAGCCGCCCGGCTCTTAACTGGAGTACGTAAGAGGGAGCACATTACTCCCATCCTGGCCTACCTCCACTGGTTACCCGTGCATTTTAGAGTTCATTTTAAGATTCTTTTATTTGTTTTTAAATCTTTAAATGGTCTGGCTCCATCATACCTCTCTGAGCTTCTCCACCCCTACACCCCTGCTCGGTGCCTCAGGTCAGCTGATCAGCTGCTCCTGGAGGTACCCAGGTCCAAACGGAAGCTCAGAGGGGATAGATCTTTTTCTGTTGCTGCCCCAATTTTATGGAACGAGCTACCCCTCCAAATTAGACAAGCCCCCACACTGTCCATTTTAAAAAGTCGTCTTAAAACCCATTTTTATTCATTGGCTTTTAACCCTGCATGAGACTCGGCTCCTGTTTTAGTGTTCTATGGTTTGTTTTTAGTTATTTGTTTCTATGTTTTTAAATTAGTTTTTAAAAACATTGAAGCTATATTTTACATTTAATTCTGCTTTTATTTTATCCATTGTTTTAATTGTTTCTTGATTATTTTTTATCTTGTTGTTTTGTCTAGTTATGTACAGCACTTTGTTCAGCTGTGGTTGTTTTAAAGTGCTCTACAAATAAAGTTGATTTGAGTTGAGTTGAGTACAGAATTGGCAGAGTGAGAAATTTGTAACACCGATTGTTGTTACGTGCATATGGTTATATGAAAATATCATTTCCATTATCTATTATTTTCATGAGGCTTATAACATTAAATTTGAAAAACAAGATGGTGTCCAAGATGGCTGCCATTGCCTTGAAGTTATCCGATCTTAGTGACTATGAAACATTTACTTTTGGCATGCACATATTTTTGGTCTATGCATCCAATGGGGCCATTGCAGTACAGAATTTACACGTTTTTACAGTACAAGCTTGCAGATGTAATAGAGTGAATATCGGCACACAACCAGGGCACACTGGTGATATCACTGCTGTGTAACTCAGCATGACCTCCAGGAGTTCTTTCAGCATGAGAACCAGTCCTTCCCTGTTGCATTGAGCAAGGGTGGAAATTGTACACTTGCCAGAAATCTCAGCTGACCCCTATCCTTGAGAATTATGTCCCACCAGTTGACAAGGAACCTGAGGCAGACGTTCTCATTGTAGATGGGTCAGCTTTGGACCACGCCCTGCCACCTAAAAGATCCAAGACTTTTGAGGACTATGCAGTTCTCGACTTCCTACCTGTGATCTACATGTACTCCAGCAAGTACACAATGACACATCTAGTCTTTGATGTGAAAAACCCATCAAGCCTTAAAGCTGAGACCAGGTCCAAACGTGGCGAGGGGGGAAGACACAAGGTAATAAATAAGAACACCATGCTATCTAACTGGCATAACTTCCTGAGGCAAAACAACAAAACAGAGTTGTTCCACCCTTGCCGACAAGGTTGCACAAATGTCGTCACAAAGGGACCTGCTGTCCTCAGCACTCATGCAACTGGTCTTGACGGACTGGATAAACAGCCTCCACATGGCCTCCCCGACAAGTAGCCAGAGAGTAGTCCCCCCCCCCCCCCCCCCCACCTCCCATACCCAATAGTAACAGAATCCATTGAAAAATCTCTTCTATCGCTTACTTTGGGTTTCAAACTGAGGTGTTGAATTTTGGATTCTGGGCAAACAAACCACTAGGGGGCGCACCCATATCATTTGCGGTGGTTTTTTAAAACCTTATACACATACCTAACACCATAACAAAAATCAGAAAATTGTCACAAAATGCCAAATTTTTTACTTTTTATGACAAGTTTCATCCTTCTGAATTCATGATTCATCTTTGCTGAATTCATGATTACTTCAAGGCAATGGCAGCCATCTTGGACACCATCTTGGTTTTCGAATTTCATGTTATAACCCTAATGAAAATAACAGATAATGGAAATGATATTTTCATATAACCATATGCACGTAACAACAATCGGTGTTACAGATTTCTCACTCTGCCAATTCTGTACAAGTATCTATATGCTGTATCTCAAGAACCGTAATGGATACAGAGATGTACTAGGTACCAAAATGTCTGCAATACACAACTTTATATTTAACGTCAATATATGTATAGGGCTTAAAATCAAGTCATTTTGAGTTGTAAAGGAAAAACCACATTTTGGGGCGGACATCTTGGATTTTGGGGCCGCCATCTTGGAATTTTGTGTATTTTTGAAAAGAGTGGGGTTTGAAGAGTATATGTACCAAATTTCATGCTTGTATAACAAAGTGAACGATTATTTCCTTATCTGCTCAGCTAAGATAGTGTTGATAATGTTTAGATGGTGTTGGCGCTATGATCACACAATCTCACTTTTTTGTATATTATGGCAGAAAATTTAAGTGGGCTAATTAAGTGAGGCCTTTCCTGTTACCATGAAGTGATCCTGGTGGTTATGAGCAGCAGGTCAGACTTAGTGACACATCTGCACTCCACAGGGGTGAAGTCACAGAGATGGATAGCTAGTCAGCAATAGGGTTCATTCATAAAGACTTTAATGTGAGTTTGATCCCAGACCATAGACAGCTGAAATAAACATTATTCATCGTTCACAAGCATTAAAAACCGTGAAGTAATAATCATTATCAATCTCTTTAATTATTCAGACTGAGCTTCAAATGTTACATTATTTAGGTCAAAAGTAAAACTCCTCAAAACAAACAGCTCAGAGGTAAGAGGTCAAGCTGAAATCATAGTGTAGTGAAATTTGTAACAGCTTACTGTGTGCTTAGCTTAAAGATTGGAATCAAACAGAAACAAGTAGCCAAAAAATTAGTGCCACCTCCATGTGCTACTTCAAAAAACTACATCTTGCTGTACAGCCAATCTGAGTGCAGTACTGAGTGCCACAATATGTAATGTTTCAGTCTTTTGGAAATATTAATGATCAAATATCGATTATTAGTTCAAAATAGAATGTTTTCTTTTACAAAAACCCAACCAAATGTATTTTAAAAAATAATTTCTTTTCCAGAGAAAATGGACTGAATAAAACTAACAGTGGCACACCTGCTGGTTCAGCCTGTAACAAAATCTTAAAAACAGCTGATGGCTGAGAGACCTCACCTGTTCACCTCCACCTGACAGAACATCATTCAAAATAAAGGTTCAGTATAACCTGAGCATCAGTTAACTACATAGTCTGGGCTAAACGAAGCTGATAAACCCCGGCAATCAGACATTAACAAGACATGGAGGTGAAGACCACCTGACTCAAGACAGGAAGAAGGCTCACCTTATTGTTAATCAACAAAAGAAAAGTCTAAAAGTAAAGAAAAAGTCAAGCACAGGAACAGCTTTCAAAATTAAAGACAACAAATCCTTCATAAAACCCAGACTGATGACAACATCACTGGCCTTCTCACACCTGGTCAGGTTCAGGACTCTGTGGGACACTAAGAGACTCGAGAGACGACGAGTCATCAGGAAGAAGTTCCTCCTTGTCACTGCAGAGACACAGAGAAACAGAGTTAAGTGAGACAAACAGACAAAGAAAGAAATGAGAAAAAGAAAGACAGAGAGAGAGAGAAACAAAGAGACAGAGAGAAAAAGGGAATGAGGGACATGTTGTGTTTTTCTTTAAAACATTAAAGATACATGGGTATGTTGAACATTAACTTTTAGTGTGTATGCATAGCAGGTAAGCTACACATACAGCCAGTGTACTTGTCTTCTTCAACAAAACCCAATTCCATTGAAATTGGGAAAGTGTAATGAACGTAAATAAAAACAGAATTCAATGATTTGCAGATCCTTTTCAACCTATATTCAATTCAATACACTACAAAGACAACTTATTTAATGTTCAAACTCATAAACTTTATTTAAATTTTTTTTTGCAAATAATAGTTAACTCAGAATTTCATGGCTGTAATACGTGCGAAAGAAGTTGGGAAAGGTGGCAAAAAATACTAAGAAACTTGAGGAATGCTCATCAAACACCTATATGGAACATCCCACAGGTGAGCAGGCTAATTAGGAACAGATGTGTGCCATGATTGTGTATAAAAGCAGCTTCCCCAAAAATTCTCAGTCATTCACAAGCAAGGATGGGTTGAGGTTTACGACTTTGTGAACAACTGCATGAGCAAATAGTTGAGCAGTTTAAGAACAACGTTTCTCAAAGTACAATTGCAAAGAATTTAGGGATTTCAACATCTACGGTCCAGAATATCTTCAAAAGGTTCAGAGAATTTGGAGAAATCACTGCATGTAAGCGGCACAGCCAGAAAACCAACATTGAATGCCTGTGACCTTCGATCCCTCAGGCGGCACTGTATAAAAAACCGACATCAATGTGTAAAAGATATCACCACATGGGCTCAGGAACACTTCAGAAAACCACTGTCAGTAAATACAGTTCGTCGCTACATCTGTAAGTGCAAGTTAAAACTCTACTATGCAAAGTGAAAGCCATTTATCAACAACATCCAGAAACGTGTTCTCCGGGCCAAAAAGGAAAAGAACCATCCGGACTGTTATCGACACAGTTCAAAAGTTAGCGTCTGTGATAGTATGGGGGTGCATTAGTGCCCAAGGCATGGGTAACTTACACATCTTACACAACGTTTCAAGATGGCGGCACGCACGGGTGCAGCGGCTCTTAGCTCTCCAGTTTGGTGCTTGTTTTTTATATTTTTGTGTGCACTCCTTTATTTAAATAAGGCAGCCGTTTCATATAGTCGTCAGACTTTACTCGACCTGGGCTGCAGGTACAGCTTGGCGGTTACTGGCGACTATCAATGAATACACAACATCCCGGAGGACATAGCGAGAATGCCGGGGTCTCTGTGGATGGTCAGCCTGCCCGGCAAGCGCAGGAGGCAGCGAAGAGAGAGGAAGCAGAAGCGGGGATGCCGGTCGGGCTCAGCTGCTAGGCTAAGTAAGCAACCTCACAGGCCAGCAGTACCAAGCCTTTTCCTCTCAAACGCCAGATCCATCACCCACAAAATGGATGAATTGGAGCTACAGATGGCTACAACAAGCTTTGTGCGGAACTGCAACATCGTTTTTATCACAGAGTCGTGGCTTCACCCGCTGATTCCCGATGCTGCAATTGAGCTAGCAGGCCGCACACTACACCAGCAGGACTCCCAAGGGAGTTTACAGTAGTCAAGGTGATAGCTGTTTACATCCCACCGGATGCTAACATTAGCATGGCTTTCAGCCTGCTGTTTAACACCATAAATAAACAGCAGCTCGCCCATCCCCACGCGGTTCTCATTGTGGCCGGCGACTTCAACCAAGCATGCCTAAAGTCTGTGCTCCACAAACTCGCCCAGTTTGTAGATTTTGCCACTAGAGGGAATAACACTTTGGATCATGTTTATTCTAACATCAAGCATGCATACAAAGCTACACCCCTCCCCCACCTGGCTGGATCTGAGCACCTCAGCATGTCCCTCACCCCCACTTACACCCCCCTGCTGAGGAAAACAAAACCTGAGAGAAAGACAATAAAGACCTGGCCTGAAGGAGCCCTCTATCAGTTACAGGACTGCTTCTCCACTACTGTATGGGATTTATTCTTCAGCCACAACCTCCAGGAGTTCACGGACACTGTACTCTCCTACATCAGGAACTGTGTAGACAATGTCACCGTCAACAAAAGGGTCAGGGTGTTTGCCAACCAAAAACCCTGGATGAACAGCGAAGTGCAATCCCTCCTGAAAAAACGCAACACTGCCTTCAAGTCAGGAAACAGGGCAGTGTATAGCGAGGCCAGGGCGGACCTGAAAAGGGGCATCAGGGAAGCCAAGGCGGCCTACAGGAGAAGGATTGAAGATCACTTCGCTGATAACAACCCCAGAAGTATGTGGCAGGGGATAAATCACATCACAAACTCCAGATGCACCCAAGAAGACAGCTGTGAACAGCCCCAATGATTACAGGCCTGTTGCACTTATGCCTGTAATTATGAAGTGTTTTGAGAGACTGGTCTCTCAGCACATCAGGACCCATCTTCCTCCCACTCTGGACCGCTACCAGTTTGCCTACAGGGCAAATTGATCCACTGAGGATGCTATCACCATAGCACTCGTAACCGCGCTGAGCCATCTGGAACACCTGGGGAACTATGTGAGGATGCTCTTCCTGGACTTCAGCTCAGCTTTCAATCACATCATCCCAGAGATCCTGATCCAGAAACTGTCCCACCTGTGTCTTTCCACCACCATCTGCCTCTGGATCAAAGACTTCCTGACAAACCATCCACAATCTGTCAGACTTGTCCCCCACCTCTCCAGCACCATCACACTCAACACCAGCTCTCCACAGGGATGTGTTTTGAGTCCCCTTCTGTTCACACTTTACACATCCGACTGCTCCCCGACCCATCTCTCAAACACCTTTACAAAGTTTGCAGACGATACCACCGTGGTCGGACTTATCTCAGGGGGAGACGAGTCCAACTACAGAGATGAGGTCAACAGACTGTCTGCGTGGAGTTCAGTAAACAACCTCCAACTGAACACCACAAAAACAAAAGAAATCATCATAGACTTTAGGAGGGGCAGAGTGGACCCAGCCCCACTTTACATCCATGGGGACTGTGTGGAAAGAGTCCACACCATGAGATTCCTGGGTGTGCAGATATCCGAGTACCTCTCCTGGACTGCGAATACTTCTGCAGTGGTGAGGAAGGCCCAGCAGCGTCTCCACTTCCTAAGAGTGCTCAGGAGAAATAACCTGGAGGAGAAGTTGCTGGTGACTTTCTGCAGAGGCACCAGGGAGAGCATCCTGGCGTACTGCATCATAGCTCGGTATGCGGGGGGCTCTGCAGCTGAAAGGAGAGTGCTACAGAGGGTCATCTGCTCAGCCCAGAAGATCACAGGCTGCCCTCTGCCCAGTCTGGAGGACATTGCCAACTCTCGCTACCTGAGCAGAGCTGGCAACATCATCAAGGACTCCTACCACCCACGGAAAAAACACCTGTTTGACCTGTTATCGTCGGGCCGAAGGTACAGGTCACACAAAACACGGACCAACAGACTCAGGGATAGCTTCTTCCTGAGAGCTATCACTACAGTCAACAACAACAAGTCCAGTTGAACCCGTCCCCCTAAACCAACTTATATACTGATCACAATAATCAAAGTGCAATAGATGTATCACTTAAGGTATCACCGTGCAATAACACTCGGCTTCACTTGTGCAATTTATCGGTTCTCATATCATTCCTTTTTTGTATACATTCCGTATATATTACTGCCTTTTTACTTTTCTTTTTATTCTTAACTTATCTTGTGTTGGCTTTCATTTTAGTATTTATTTTTTACGACTACAAGTGCTCTGCACCAAAGGGGGTTGCGCTAAAATTTCATTGGACTGTGTACAATGACAATAAAGGCGATTCTGATTCTGATTCTGATCTGTGAAGGCAACATTAATCCTGAAAGGTACATACAGGCTTTGGAGTAACATATGCTGCCACCCAAGCACCGTCTTTTTCATGGACGCCCTTGCTTATTTTAGCAAGACAATGCCAAGCCACATTCTGCACGTGTTACAAGAGTGCGGGTACTTGACTGGCCTGCCTGCAGTCACCTGTCTCCCACTGAAAATGTTTGGCGCATTATGAAGCGTAAAATACGACAACGGAGACCTCGGACTGTTGAACAACTGAAGCTGTACATCACGCAAGAATGGGAAAGAATTCCACCTTCAAAGTTTCAGCAATTAGTCTCCTCAGTTCCCAAACATTTATTGAGTATTGTTAAAAGGAACGGTGATGTAGCACAGTGGTAAACATGCCCCTGTCCTAACTACTTTGGCACGTGTTGCAGCCATGAAATTCTGAGTTAATTATTATTTGCAAAAAAAAGTATATGTGTTTGAATGATAAATATTGTTGTTGTAGTGTATTCAATTGAATATAGGTTGAAAAGGATTTGAAAATCATTGTATTTTGTTTTTATTTATGTTTATCACAGTTTCCCAACTTCAGTGGAATTGGGTTTTGTCCAACTCACTTGTATTGTCTAGCAGTGACACACTACGCAGCTCACAGGTCAAAACATTATTATGGTGTCACCTAGTGGCTTACCATATAAACTATGTCATAACTACAGGACGGAAAGACAAGGAGGCAATGAGACATAGAGAGAGAAAGACAGGAAGAAGGACAGAGAGACAGTCAGAAGGAGAGAAGCTTCTATATGCCCTCTAAAGGCCACTATAGAAAGGAGTTTTGCGATGAGACTATGCCCTTAAGATGGTGTTGTTATGACAATCTACAGTACTATATACTGACAAAAAGTGACATTAGCTGATAAACGTTACCTGATGAAAGAGGCATGGCGGGAAGCACGATGGCGTTTTAGCAAGATGACGATGAGTGATCCCAGCAGCAGAGCAGAGACGGATGCCATAGTGACGAAGAGGAAGACAGCTGAGGATAAATACCAGGACAGGGTCACTGATAAACAATTAGTCCTGTGGTCTGATGAGACCAAGATAAACTTTTTTGGTTTAGATGGTGTCCAGCATGTGTGGCAGTAACCAGGTGAGGAGTACTAAGACAAGTGTGTCCTTGGGCCTTATTTGGACATTTTCACTTTGTGGTGTACTCACTGTTGTTGCCAGGGGTGTAAAAATGAATGGCTCCGTGTTGAGTTAGTTTGAGGGAACAACAGATTCACACTGTTACACAAGCTGTACACTGACTACTGTACATTGCATCAAATTGTCATCTCTTTAGAGTAGTCCCATGAAAAGATATAATTAAATATTTGCAGAAATGTGAGGGGTGTACTCACTTTTGTGAGATACTGTACATATATATACATACAGTATATAGATAAATATATATATACACACATATAAGTATACATACAGTAGATGTACTTATATATACATACACATGTACATGTGTACATATATATATATATATATATATATATATATATATATACACTACCACAAGTTTGGAAGCAAGATCAGATTTGTACAAAAAAAGATCATAGTTTCATATATATATAATTTGCGACACAAAAAACATGACTATTGTGTAAAGAGTAACTTATCAGAAGACATTTTGACTATAATTATTAGGTATTTGAGTTATTTTTGCTTAGACTTTGCTTTCTCTAAAGTAACCTCATCTGGCTTTAACAACAGCTTGGCATATACCAGGCATTCATTCCACAAGTTTTTTAAGGTATGTTTCAGGGATTGCATTCAAAGCTTTCTTAAGTTCATTAAAAAGAGACGGCTGATTCGTGGGACGCGTTTTTCTGACAGATCGATCCAATTCATCCCGCACAAGCCCTATTGGAGAAAGGTCTGAAGACTGAGGGAGCCAAACCATCTTTTGAAGAACACCTTCCTCTTCTTTTTTGTCTAGGTAACCCTGACAGAGCTTGGCAGAGTGCTTAGGGTCATTGTCTTGCTGCAAAACAAACTTATTAGCCACAAGTCTTAATAATAATAATAATAATAATAATAATACATTTTATTTAAAAGCGCCTTTCTGAGCACCCAAGGACACTTTACAGGGCATAAAAACACAGCTAGAAACATAATTAAAATAAATAAAAACAACATACAGGTGTGAAAGTAGACAGTTAAAGTGAGTATGCGATTCGGAATAGGTGTGTTTTGAGATTGGATTTAAAGTGGGGTAGTGAGTCCATGTTCCTGAGGTCCGGGGGGAGAGAGTTCCAGAGTTTGGGAGCAGAGCGACTGAAAGCCCTGCTCCCCATGGTGCTGAGCCGGGCAGAGGGGACAGAGAGGTGGAGGGAGGAGGAGGATCTGAGGGAGCGTGAGGGGGTGGATATGTGGAGGAGATCGGAGAGGTAGGGGGGGGGCAAGGTTATGGATGGCCTTGAAGGTGTACAGGAGGATTTTGTAGTTGATTCTGAACTTGACGGGGAGCCAGTGAAGCTGCTGAAGGACAGGGGTGATGTGGTGAAAAGAGGGGGTTCTGGTGATAATGCGGGCTGCAGAGTTTTGGACAAGTTGAAGTTTATGGAGGGATTTGTGAGGGGCACTGAAGAGGAGTGAGTTGCAGTAGTCTATGCGTGAAGTAACAAGGCTGTGGACCAGAATAGCTGTGGTGTGAGGAGTGAGTGATGGACGGAGACGGTTGATGTTTCGTAGGTGGAAATATGCAGACCGGGTGATGCTACTGATGTGGGAGTGGAATGATAGAGAGCTGTCGAGGATGACACCCAGACTCTTAACCTGAGGGGAAGGGGATACTGTGGAATTGTCTATGGAGAGGGAGAAACTGTTAGTTTTGGAAAGAGTGGACTTGGTACCGACCAGGAGGAGTTCTGTTTTATTGGAGTTGAGTTTGAGGAAGTTTGAGGTGAACCAGGATTTAATTTCTGAGAGGCAGTGGGTGAGGGAGGAGGGTGGAAGGGAGGCGTCGGGTTTGCTGGAGAGGTAGAGCTGGGTGTCATCTGCGAAGCAATGAAAATGTATGCCAAATTTACGGAGGATGTTGCCAAGGGGAAGGAGATAGATAATGAAGAGGAGGGGGCCTAGGACAGAACCCTGGGGGACACCAGAAGTGACAGGGGAGGGCTGTGAGGTGAATGATTTGAGTTGGATGAACTGAGTGCGGCCAGTGAGGTATGAGTGAAACCAGTGGAGGGGGGTGTGAGTAATGCCTATGGAGGAGAGTCTATGGAGGAGGATGGGATGAGAGATGGTGTCGAAGGCCGCACTCAGATCGAGGAGAATGAGGATGGAGATTAAACCGGAATCAGCTGCCATGAGGAGGTCGTTAGTGATTTTGATGAGGGCTGTTTCAGTGCTATGGAGGGGACGGAAGCCGGACTGGAACTGTTCATAGAGACTGTTGTGGGTGAGATGGGTGTGGAGTTGGGAGGCAACAGTTTTTTCTAGGATTTTGGAAATGAAGGGGAGGTGGGAAATGGGGCGGAGGTTATTGAAGTCGTTGGGGTCTGAACCAGGTTTTTTCAGGGTGGGACTGATGGTTGCAGTTTTGAAGGGGGTGGGAAGTCCAGATGGAGCAGCATGGTGCTGGAGGATGGAGTGGTACTGTTCCTTCTGCATGATACCCTTTATGTCAAACAAATTTTCTACTCTATCACCTGCAAAACATCCCCATACCATGGAACTACCACCTCTATGCTGAATGTGGGTGTAACACATGGTGATTTCAGACATTCACCAGTTTGTCTGCGGACATAGACTTTGCGTTTTGAACCAAACAGGGCAAACTTGTTTCTAGTCATCATAAGCCAATTTTTGTGAGCTTTCGCCCACTCATATCTCTTTTTCTTGTTCTGTGGATGAAGTAGTGTTTTTTGCAGATACACAACCCTTCAGACCAGCCTTTCTCAAACTTCATTTCATGGTTGTCAGAGAAATGGGTTTCGACCTTGTCATGTTGATTTCCTCTCGTCTCGTGGTCAGAGCTATGGCGATCTGAGCCTCACCGGATCAAGTTCCTCATCCAGTCGGTCTACGACGTCCTCCCAAGCCCATCCAACCTCCACCGCTGGGGCTTGGCTGAGAACCCACTGTGCCCTCTCTGCCAAAGAGCAGGATCACTGGAACACATCTTGAGCTGCTGCCCAAGAGCACTGGGAGAGGGGCGCTACCGCTGGCGCCATGACCAAGTGCTACGGGTCATTGCAGAGGCCATCAGCACAGGCATCTCCACCAGCAAACACATACAACCATCAAGGCAGATCATTGCCTTCGTTAAGGCTGGGGAGAAGCCGCAGCAGCTCAGGAGGCAAGCAGGGGGGCTGCTGGCAACAGCCCGGGACTGGCAGCTGAAAGTCGACCTAGGGAGACAGCTCAAATTCCCGGAGAACATCGCAGTGACCATGCTCAGGCCAGACATGGTCCTGGTGTCTGAAACAACAAGGCAAGTGGTCCTGCTGGAGTTGACTGTTCCCTGGGAAGACAGGATGGAGGAGGCCTTTGAGAGAAAGAAAGCCAAGTATGAGGAGCTGGCAAGTGAATGCTGAAGCAGGGGATGGAGGACCCAGTGCAACCCCATCGAGGTCGGATGCAGAGGATTCGCTGGCCAGTCCCTCATCAGGGCTCTCAAGATGCTGGGAGTAGGGGGACTGCACAACAGGTGAGCCATCAAGAACATCTGCGACACAGCAGAGAAGGCGTCCAGATGGCTGTGGATCAAGCGGGGTGATCCGTGGTCACATGCTCTTAAGACACCCCGGCTGGGTCCCCTGGGCGAGGGTGTCTGTTGCAAGACCCGAAACACCCAGTGAACCCAGGTGCCAACACTGATGATGTGTCTTTAGTTGAACCATAAGTGTATTTTAGAACTAATTTCCTCCCTTATTTGTGGTGCTGTCTTTCGCCGATCTCTCTTACTGGTGACAATGCTATGTTTATCCTCTGCTTTAGTAGTAACTCTCTTTCGTCCAGGTCTTTTTCTATCATCATAACTTCCAGATTCCTCTAGTCTCCTCAGAGTGTAGTGGACTCCTTTGTTAAACACCTTTAGGCGTTTTGCAATTTTTCTTTCTGTGTATCCTTCTTTCCTCAATGTACAAATCAGTACTTTTGTTTCTTTACTCAGTTGCTTCTTTCTAGTCATTTTCAGGGTAGTTTGAACCAGTTGAGATTTATTAGGATTTTTGTATGCAGACTCTCAAAAGCCAAAAGTTGAAGTGAATAATCCAACTGTGATTCTTTTTTTTTTGCGTTTGCATTGAAGTTGTGACTGTTGCAAATGTTTTCAACCCTAAAACTAAACCCTTATTATCGTTTGCTGACATATATTTAGCAATTGTCTGTTAACATCAATATATATCTAAAGGTAAATGGAGTAAAATGGTGCATTTCCATGAAAGCAACATCTGATCATGGAGTAAATACATCCCAAAATACATAAAACTCATGCTGGATTTTAAAAAAAAGCATTGTGAACAAAAACTTGAAGTTACTCCCAACTGTTCGGCCTGTAATGGCCTTGCTTCCAAACTTTTGGCCTGTAGTTTGCATATGAATATACAGTGGATATAAAAAGTCTACACACCCCTGTTCAACTGCCAGGTTTTTGTCATGTAAAAAAAATTAAATCAAGATAAATAATTTCACTGCTTCTTCCACATTTAATGGGACCTGTACAACACAATTGAAAAACAAACAGAAATCTTTCAGGGACGTTAAGTAAAAATAAACAACTGAGAACATGTGGTTGCATAAGTGTGCACACCCGTTAATAACTGGGGATGTGGCTGTGTTCAGATTTAACCAATAACTTTCAAACTCAGGTTAAATTGGCCAAAATTGATGATAAGACAGGAAGAAAACTGGTCAGGGAGGCTACCAAGAGGCCGACAGCAACACCGAAGGAGCTGCAGGAATTTCTGGCAAGTACTGGCTGTGTAGTACATGTGGCAACAATCTCCCGCTGTCTTCATATGTCTGGGCTACGGGATAGGGTAGCAATACGGAGGCCTTTTCTTACAAAGAAAAACATCAAAGCCCGGCTTAATTTTGCAAAAAGACATTTGAAATCTCCCAAACGTATGTGGGAAAATGTGTTATGGTCTGATAAAACCAAAGTTGAACTTTTTGGGCATCATTGCAGAAGGTATATTTGGCGCAAAATCAACCCTGCTCATCACCAAAAGAACACCATACCCACAGTGAAGCATGGTTGTGGCAGCATCATGCTTTGGGGCTGTTTTTCTTCAGCTGGAACTGGTGCCTTAGTCAGGGTGGAGGGAATTATGAACAGTTCCAATTACCAGTCAGTGTTGGCACAAAACCTTGGGCCTTCTGTAAGAAAGCTGAAGATGAAGAGGAACGTCATCTTTCAGCACGACAATGACCTAAAGCACACATCTAAATCAACAAAAGAATGGCTTCACCGGAATAAGATTGAGACTTTGGAATGGCCCAGCCAGAGCCCAGACCTGAATCCCATCGAACATATGTGGGGTGATCTGAAGAGGGCTGTGCAAAGGAGATGCCCTCGCAGTCTGTCAGATTTGGAGCGGTTTTGCAAAGAAGAGTGGGCAAATATTGCCACATCAAGATGTGCCACGCTGATAGACTCCTACCCAAAAAGACTGAGTGCTGTAATAAAAGCCAAAGGTGCTTCATCAAAGTATTAGTTTAAGGGTGTGTATATTTATGCAACCAGGTTATTTTAACTTTTCTATTTTTTATTTTTCCCCTTACAGATTTCAGTTTGTTTTTCAATTGCATTGTACATGTTATAGGTCACATTAAAGGTGGAAAAAGTTGTGAAAATATTTATCTTGCTGTCATTTTCTAACATCACAAAAACCTGGCAGTTGAACAGGGGTGTGTAGACACCAATCCAATATTTGATATCGGAATCGATCCCGATACTGAAGAAAAATCTAGATCGGGTATCATGACAATGGTGTTTAGCACACAACACAGTGTGGTCGTAAGTGTTCGGACTCTGAAAACTGTGCAAAGGATTATGATGCAGATGCAGGGTTATCGATGGTTACACCTGCATGCTATACGGTGAGGCTATGTTGTATCGCAAGATACAATAAGACAATTGATCAAGTTGATTGATCCTGAAGGCGTAGGGCACAGACGAGCCCGGTGGTTGAGGTGCAGGCATTACCAAAGCCTGGCACATGGATGGCTATGACAAATTTTATACATGCAGCATTTCATTTTGACTTTTTTAAATTTCAACTTTAATTTCAAAATTTCCACTTTAATCTCGAAATGGAAATTTAAAAACATCTCCTTCCTGCAATTTTTTTTTCTCTTCTTGTGGCCCTAATCCTTGCGTAGTCTCCTCAGGCTTCATGAGATAAAAAATTGCATTTTACTTCACGTAAAATCTCATGTTTTTTTACGTGAGTTTCCCCTGCAAATATATCAAGTAAAAAATGCTCATCTGCGCTCATTTTCCTGGCCAGCACAGAGCTGCTAAACTCAGCTGCACTCGGTGATTGCCTTGTCAGGGCTCCCCCCACAAACAAGCAGCTGCTGGAGGAGAGTGGATGAGTTGTGTTTGGTCTCTTTGCTAAAGAAACCAGGCAAAGCTAAAAAGATGTTAGTATTAAATTAGTGCTATGGCTGGGACTCTATATGTACTGTTGATGATGTTAGGTGCTGTTCTGAGCATTATTTGTGGCTATAGAGTGGCTTTTGAGGTTTGTGCGTGGAGCCATAGACCACTGTGTATTGCTATCGAGCGGTTGTTATTAAAGTTGGTGTAACTAGAGAAGCAAGCAGTTGGTAACATTCATCTCTCAGGGGTGTCTAACTCGATGTCAATGTTGTATGAAGTACTAAACAAATATACTTGAGTTGTAGTATAGTTACCTTCCCAGAAAATGACCTAAGTCAAAGTGAAAGTCTCCTATGAGAACTCATACTTTAAGACTTCGACTTCAGTAATCACGTAAATATCAAGTAAATATACTCCAAGTAAAAATAAAAAGTCAAAGTCAAAGTACAAATAAGTATTTTTTAATTTTTTTGCAAAAGTCAGTTATGCCCAAATAAGCACACATTTCAGGGTGGTGCAAGCAACAGCTTAAAAAATAAATGGATACACACAGAGTGGGGCACACACTGCACAACCTACAAGTGGCTGCCAATATGCCCGGGCTTGAGTGACTGATTGACGATGATCAAGCACAATGCAAATCAACGTTGTGGAAAAGGGAAAACTAGTTTTTTCCCCCTACCCCCTGTCATAGTAAAAAAGTAAAAATAGGAGTGGCGAAGATGCTTCTGTGAAATGTAGTGGAATAAAAGTATATCTAAAAGTATACTATTAGAAATGTAGTCAAGTAAAAGTAAAAGTCGCAGGCACTTAAAAAACTCCAGTCAAGTAAAAATACTTCAGAAGTGTACTCAACTACTGTACTTAAGTATTGCTAATTACATACTATACAACAATTAGTCAGTGTTACGGTGTGTTTGACCCTAAATTAATTTTATGCCAGAATATCCCTTTAAAACACCTTATGCTGCTTGTAAAGTGTGTTTAGTCATGTTAAATACAATAGTAATTCAGGGACAAGTGGTCTCAAGAGGCCCGCTTGCAAGGCAAATCCCGGGAAAGAGGCAAGGAGTGAGGTAGGCATGGTGTGACACATGCACTGTTTTCCGTTCTTTTTTTTTTTGTGTTACTGTAACTGAGCTCCAAAAGGGCTAGAAACAGGGACTAAGCAGCTGCTCATCCATAGAAAAACTATAGGGACCACAGGCCATGTATTATTTATGTTTTGTGACCTTTAGTGAAGGTTTTTGTTTGGATAAAGGCATTTATTGCCCCCCAATATTACCACATATTAACTGTTCCTAAAAGAAGTAAAATAATACTAATAAATAATGGGAGCGGTACAGGAGTGGGAGTCACTCTGAATGGGAGCAGGATGGTAGTGGGAGTCATTTCACCAGGATTGGGAAGGGACATGATTTTTTTCTATGGAAGTGGGATGGGACAAGAGTGAAAATCCACTCTTGTGTCACTCTGTACTCTATACTGAGCACAGCTGACCGGGGCTGCACTACGCTGCTGCTACGCTCCAAATACGCATCCTGTATGCCATACTCAGGGCTGCTCTACGGAGCAAATACACAACGCTGATGTAATGCTCTCAAAACAGATGCTGTGTGTTTTTGGCTTTATTGTTTGACCATGAAATCAGACCTTAACTGAGCCAAGTGAAGCCTGCAGGGTTTTAGATGTTGTTCTGGGTTCTTTTGGTACCTCCTACATAAGTCATGGATGTCAGTAATCTGGGTAAGCCGGAATCTCCTGGGACGGTTTCCACTGATCCGTGTTTTCTCCATTTGAGATTCATGGCTCTCACTGTGGTTTTCTGGAGTCCCTAAGCCTTAGAAATGGCTCTATAACCCTTTCCAGACTGATGAATGTCCATAACTTTGTTTCTCATCTGTTCTTAAGTTTCTGTAGATCTGGACATGATGCGCTGCTTATTTAGATCTTTTAGCAGACCTTGTGTTGTCAGACAGCTTCTGTTTAAGGGATTTCTTGACTCTACAGGTCTGGTTGTAATCTGGTCTGGATGTGGCTGATGAAAATGAACTCAGCTTTCCAAATGTGTTTAATAACAGTTAATTCCTGATTTAAAGTCCCACTCCAATCATTTTTCTTTTACTAATTATAATGTTATCAGTGGTCTTTACATTGTGCCAAAATCATGTTACCTGTGTCATTATCAAGGACTTTTCTTCTGCAGAAATCTAGTAGCTTATCAGCATTTTGTCTCTGAGTCCTGGGTGGAGACAGCACTGCTCTGCACACTTCACGATAGCTTGCAGCCTATCATTGCCGGTGTAGTAGAAGTGGCAGGTAATGCCTTCCAACACACCAACATGGCTGCATAGCTTTTGGCTCCGCTTTGCTAGGCTTCCCTACCCCCATGCTATAGCCGTCTTATATCTACTAAACCTTGCCAGATTGGTGAGCAATAAATGTCACAAGACCCTAGGCAAACCCACCCAACGGAGAACACGATGGCGCAGTCATAAACCATCTGTAATGGCTGTGACACCAAACACCGAACCCGACAACATGATGTCTGAGCTTGCCAGCATCAAAAACCTGTTGCACGGGATAGCAGCTGATGTGAGTAGCATGAAAACAAGCCTGGAGATCAATCAATCAATCAATCAAATTTTATTTATATAGCACTTTACAATATCCCAAATGGTACCCGAAGTGCTTTACATAAAAGCAATAAAATAACACAAGAAAAAATACCATTATAAAATAATACAATAGAATAGAATAATACAAGAACGATGCAATAATAAAAATGAATATGAAAATAAAATAATACAATAAAATAGTATGTAGAAGTGCTAAAAACCTATAAGTACAGGACTACCTAGTCAGAGTTAAAAGCAAGTCTAAAAAGGTGCGTCTTTAACTTTGATTTAAATAAACTGAGGTCAGTGGTGGTGCGTACATCTAGCGGCAGTCTGTTCCACAGCCTAGGGGCTGCAACAGCAAAAGAACGATCACCCCACTGTTTGAGTTTTGACCTCGGGACCTCCAACAGGCGCTGACCGGAGGAACGGAGGGCCCTGCCATGATCGCGAACAGTTAAAATCTCTGACAGGTAGGAGGGGGCCAGGCCATTTATGGCATAAAAAGTGAATAATAAAAGTTTAAAATCAATTCTAAAACAAACTGGAAGCCAGTGTAGCGAAGACAGCACAGGGGTGATGTGTTCACGCCTAGACGTGCCCGTTAAAAATCGTGCAGCAGCGTTCTGTACAAGCTGGAGACGGGAGATTAAAGACTGGCTGAGGCCAACATAAAGGGCATTACAATAGTCCAGTCTGGAACTGATGAAGGCATGGATTGCCTTCTCGAGGTCCTGCCGACTTAAAAAGGACTTCACTTTGGCCAGGAGACGCAGTTGAAAAAAGCTGGTACTGACGACAGATCTAATCTGTTTATCGAACTTAAGTCCACTGTCAAATGTTACCCCAAGATTCTTTACATGTGGCTTGAAAAAAGGCGCTAGATTTCCAGAGTCTGTAATCGAAACGTTTGATATCGATGGCGTGCCAAATAAAATACACTCAGTTTTGCTGTCATTTAGGTGCAAAAAGTTCAGAGCCAACCACTGTTTTACTTCAGTAATACAGTCCAGTAAGTGAGAAAGTGCACTGTTCTCGTTGGGTCGCATGGGCAAATATAACTGTAAGTCATCAGCATACGAATGAAAAGACAGATTGTATTTTCTTATAATTGATCCCAGGGGTAGTAAATACAAAGAGAACAGAATAGGGCCAAGAATAGAGCCCTGTGGCACCCCACAAGAGAGAGGCGCCTGTGAGGAGCAGAGGTCACCAATCATCACGGAAAAACTCCTATCTGCCAGGTACGACTTAAACCATTTGAGAGCGGTGCCACGGATGCCTACATACTGCTCAAGGCGAGATACAAGGATTGCATGATCGACTGTATCAAAAGCCGCTGTGAGGTCCAGCAGGACCAGCACAGCGGGGTTTCCAGCATCCACGGACAGGGCAATATCATTATGTACCTTTAACAGTGCTGACTCAGTGCTATGTCGAGACCTGAAACCAGACTGAAATTTATCAAGAACAGAATTTACCTCTAAAAATGCATGCAATTGAAGGGAGACAACTTTTTCCAAAACCTTAGAAAGAAATGGCAGGTGGGAGACAGGCCTAAAATTGGACAGCACAGTGGGGTCAAGATGCGTTTTTTTGAGGAGGGGCCTAACCACAGCATGTTTGAAAGCAGCTGGGACAGACCCTGAGCTAAGACAGGTGTTGATAAAAAACAGCAAGCTTGATCCAACAGAACTAAATACCTCCTTTAGAAACTTGGCTGGAATAATGTCTAAGGGACAGTTAGTGGGTTTTAAGCCACTAACCACCTTAGTGAGAGACGACAGAGAAATTGTTTCGAAGTTCTCAAAAACAGCAGATAGTGCAGGAGGAGCACATACATCATTGGGGGAGATGCTACAAACCACGGTGGACCAGCTTGGGGCACAAGTGATGGAGGCTGAAACCAGGATTTCTGACCTCAAGGACGCTTGCAATAGCTGAGGGGCTAGTTTGGACTCTGCCCTATCAAACTTAAAAAGCTCCAGGATAAATTTACATACATAGAAGATGCAGGCAGGTGAAAAAATATGCTTGTGGCAAGCATACCCGCAAACACAGAGCAACAGGATCTAAGTGGTTTCATACTTCATATTCTGGCTGAAAAACTGGGCCTAAAAGTGGATGTGGGATTTGAATTGGAACGAGCCCATCATGTTGGCCCGAAGTGAGATGATGAGTGCAGCCGCCATGTCTTGGCTCACTTTCTGAGATTAAGCGCGAGAGAAGCAGTTCTACGAGCCGAAAGGCAAGGCAACAGGATCTCCTTCTTTCAGGATCTTTCTCAAGATGTGCTTCAACACCTTAAGAAGTTTGACATGGTAAAGAAACAGCTCCAGGAGCGGGGGATGTCATACTCCATGGTGTACCCAGTGACTCTGAAAGTCTCTGCAAACAACAGGTCCCACCCCTTCACCTCACCAGATACAGCAGCTGCCCTCCTCGCAACACAAAGTTGAACATCAGAATATTGGACCGAGATTTGAGTTGAAAGTTAAGTTGGCCAATATAGGTACGCTCTTATACAGACATGCACACACTATTGGTGTATTCTTCTTTTTTATAGACGTGCATTTACAGGCAGTGAATATAGTCCTTTTGGTTATTTTTTTGAGTAGCCTGTGTGTGTGTGTGTGTGTGTGTGTGTGTGTGTGTGTGTGTGTGTGTGTGTGTGTGTGTGTGTGTGTGTGTGTGTGTGTGTGTGAAGAATGGGCATAGTTTATTTTATTTTAATATTATTATTTTTTACTCATTATTATTCCTTTATAGTGCCTGTCTCAACTTGCCTGTCTGTTTGACTCTGTTCATTTCCGCATTCACTAGCACTCATTCACACTTGTTAAAATAGCACTCCTCAACTTTCCTGTCTATTCACTTCTATATTATATCTTACTGCCTGTCAGTCTGTCTATCTGTTGGTCTGTCCATCTGTCTTTGTGTTTGTCTGCCTGCGTGCGTGCACATGTACGTGCATGTGTGTGTTTTAAATTTGGAGAGGTGGAGGAAGTGTTCAGTTGTCGTCTTAAAATTACGACTAAAAAGATAACATAGGGTTTCAATGTGAATTTTCTGTTGTCATTTAGGGGTGGTCATTTGAGAAAAGTTTCTAGGCGGTCATTTGAACGTGTCTCACTTGCACACAGGTTGTCTGTCCGTTAACACGTCTCAACTTGTCTGTGTCTGACTGTACACACTACAGTGTTTAAATTTGTGTTTTAAATTTGGAGATGTGGAGGAAGTGTTTGGTTGTCTTCTTAACCCTATGACATAAGATGTCTGACAAAAATCCACTGAGTTGCTCTCCAAAAACTGACTGGAGAAAGTGTTGCCTTTGCCAGGAAGATACTAAGGAGGAGTTGACATCTCCCCCTCCTTGTTATGAGTGTAGTTCTGACAGCTATTCTACGATAGCCAGAAACATACCAAAATTTCAGGCAATCAACCTGCTGCCCATCAGGTTAGACCCATCTAGATTGGATGATGGAGGTGGCATTGAGGATACATTAAGGAGAAACAGTGCAAAGTATCACCCAAATTTCTGCCAAATGTTTAGCAACTGCAAACTCGAGTGTGCCACTAAAAGAGCAGCTCAAATTTAAAATGATCCTGGTGAAGGACGTGCAAAGATTCGAAGGGCTTACATTGAAGTACAGCGGTGCTTCTTATGTGAAAAAATGGAACCACAATCAGAGCTGCGACAAGCGATGACCATGCAGCTAAATGAGAGGCTCAATGAATGTGCTCATAATCTTAATGATTGTAAGCTTCTGGCTTTATTGAGTGGTGGAGATGTGAAGGCCTTGGAACTTAAATATCATTGGACTTGCTTAAGAGACCTGTATAACAGAGAGAGGAAACACATTTTAGCACAAGAGAAACATCTAAATTCGTCTCAAGAAAAGGAAGCCTTTCATTTGGTGTTCTCTGAACTTCTGACATACATCACTGAGGAAAAAAAGATAAAAATGATGAGGCCGCTGTGTTCCGACTTGCTAAATTGATTAGTCTTTAAAGGAAGAGACTTGAGCAGTTTGGGGCAGACCTACCTGACAAGAATGCGACCCGATTGAAAGAGAGGCTTTTGGTGGAGATTCCTGGACTGATAGCCTACACGAAAGGACAAGATATACTTCTGGCATTTGAAAAAGATGTTCGTCCAGTCTTGTCAGAAGCATCATCCTATGCTGATGCCATTACTCTCTCCACAGCTGCCAAGATATTGCGCAGGCACATGGTCGAACACAAGTCTAAATTTGAGGGCAATCTCTATGAGAGTTCAGTGTATGATTCTGTGCCTCCAGCTTTGCTTCAGTTTGTCTGTATGATTGAGCATGGGGCAGACATACAATCTCAGCTGAGATTTGGAGTGACTACAACTGACCTGGCAATGGCTCAGCTCCTTCAATACAACTGCTTTGCCAAGTACAAAGAAGGTGGTGCCACACAAACGCATTCGAGCGACAGAGAAACTCCATTTCCGGTCTACATAGGGATGTCTGTTTATGCTGAGACCAGAAAGAGACACCTTGTGAAAACACTTCATGACCATGGTCTTAGTATACCATATGATCGAGTACTTGATATATCAGCTCAGCTGGGAGATGCAGTTGTAAACAGATACATTAAAGAAGGTGTAGTTTGTCCTCCCAAACTGAGGAAAGGGCTCTTCTTCACGTGCAATGCATAACATCGATCATAATCCTTAATCTACAACTGCGACGTCATCATTCCATGGAACCAGCATCTCCATATTCTAACATTTAACATCAGAAAATCAAGGTGAGGTTCGAGAGCCAATTCTAATTAAGAACAGTAGTGTCAAGAAAGTCCCAGAACTTCCTGATTCATACACAAATGTGCATCCTGCTTTCTTCACAAAAAAGAATCCATCTCCTCCCAAGGGCAATGTCACATATACACTCACCGGCCACTTTATTAGGTACACCTGTCCAACTGCTCGTTAACACTTAATTTCTAATCAGCCAATCACATGGCGGCAACTTAGTGCATTTAGGCATGTAGACATGGTCAAGACAATCTCCTGCAGTTCAAACCGAGCATCAGTATGGGGAAGAAAAGTGATTTGAGTGACTTTGAACGTGGCATGGTTGTTGGTGCCAGAAGGGCTGGTCTGAGTATTTCAGAAACTGCTGATCTACTGGGATTTTCACGCACAACCATCTCTAGGGTTTACAGAGAATGGTCTGAAAAAGAAAAAATATCCAGTGAGCGGCAGTTCTGTGGGCGGAAATGCCTTGTTGATGCCAGAGGTCAGAGGAGAATGGCCAGACTGGTTCGAGCTGATAGAAAGGCAACAGTGACTCAAATAACCACCCGTTACAACCAAGGTAGGCAGAAGAGCATCTCTGAACGCACAGTACGTCGAACTTTGAGGCAGATGGGCTACAGCAGCAGAAGACCACGCCGGGTGCCACTCCTTTCAGCTAAGAACAGGAAACTGAGGCTACAATTTGCACAAGCTCATCGAAATTGGACAATAGAAGATTGGAAAAACGTTGCCTGGTCTGATGAGTCTCGATTTCTGCTGCGACATTCGGATGGTAGGGTCAGAATTTGGCGTCAACAACATGAAAGCATGGATCCATCCTGCCTTGTATCAACGGTTCAGGCTGGTGGTGGTGGTGTCATGGTGTGGGGAATATTTTCTTGGCACTCTTTGGGCCCCTTGGTACCAATTGAGCATTGTTGCAACGCCACAGCCTACCTGAGTATTGTTGCTGACCATGTCCATCCCTTTATGACCACAATGTACCCAACTTCTGATGGCTACTTTCAGCAGGATAATGCGCCATGTCATAAAGCTGGAATCATCTCAGACTGGTTTCTTGAACATGACAATGAGTTCACTGTACTCAAATGGCCTCCACAGTCACCAGATCTCAATCCAATAGAGCATCTTTGGGATGTGGTGGAACGGGAGATTCGCATCATGGATGTGCAGCCGACAAATCTGCGGCAACTGTGTGATGCCATCATGTCAATATGGACCAAGCTCTCTGAGGAATGCTTCCAGCACCTTGTTGAATCTATGCCACGAAGAATTGAGGCAGTTCTGAAGGCAAAAGGGGGTCCAACCCGTTACTAGCATGGTGTACCTAATAAAGTGGCCGGTGAGTGTACATCTTTACCAAGTCTCTCCCTGACAAAGGAATATGAATGGTTGCAGAAGGTTAGCCTCACAAAGAACGTAGATGGTGAGGTTAACATCACTTGGTCCGCCCACCATGCAGAGAAGAAGCGAGGCTTTGAATTTGAAGTGAGTATTACCTCAGCTCTCTATGTGGGCTCCACATAGTGAGCTGCCTTCAGATCACTGAGGACCCTACTTGATAGTAGTGGGTGGACAGGTGGAGGCAGGGGTAGCTTCTCCTGGAAAAGCCGACTCTTTCTTTCTGCCTCCAATGTCACAAGAACACGTCACATGCACCAAGTTACAGCATGCTGTCTCTACAGGCTCAGAAAGGAAGCATATGAGTACCATTGTGCAGAAGAGAAAGAAGGAGTTTCGATGAATTTCGATGACTGGTGTGAGACACGCAGGGAGGAGAGTCCCCAGTTTAAATTCTGGGAGCTTGTGTTGTCAGTGGAAATGAGGTGGTCTTCTCATTGGTCAGATCTCTCAGAGAAGCTAACTTTAAGTTGTATTGTGAAGCACTGTTTGCTCTAATCCCCTTCCTCTTTGCAAACAACAATGTAAACTATGCTCGCCGGCTCCCCATCCACCTCAGAGACATGGTTTCTTTGGAGCAAACTCATCCTCAGGTGTTCCATGAATTTCAGCAGGGAAAGTTTGTGGTCCACAAGACTCCTAGGGATTTCTCAGGCCTATCCATTGACCAAGCTCATAAGCAGGCCAATGCAGTTATTAAAGGTGATGATGGTGCCATTGGAGTTACAGAGGATCCATCTGCACTGAGGCGGTGGATGGTGTCTGGACCAGAAGTTAGCCAGTTAGTCAGCCAGTATGAGCTGGCATCTCAGGTCAACGACGCCAATGAAGATATCAGGCATCATGAGCAGACAAGTCAGTCTCAGAAGTCCTTTATTGATAAGGTACACAAGTTGTTTAATGTGATGAAGGATCTGGGAAATCCTTTCCAGGAGGAGTCCAAAGATCTACTCACATTGGACACAAAAAACATTGCACATCCCAGTGCTGCTGAGCTTGTAAGAATTCACCTTGAGAAAGGTCAAGTTGCCTTCAAAGACTTTTTCAATGGTCTGGGGGATGAGGGTTCCTTCTATAGGCCCATTAAAAAGAACAAAACTGACTTCTTTCGCCAAGAGGCAGCTGCAGTTTCCAATGACAAGAATAAGTACGTATGCCAGTCATGAGAGTGTGACATGCTTGAGTTCTGTATGCACGAACAGATAGCATTTTTGATGTTTACTGGACTTCAAGCCTCAAGGCTGAAACTAGGGCAAACAGAGGTAAGGGAGGTTGACGTAGAGTGACTGACCAAACCAAACTACCACCCAACTGGAAAAGCTTTTTGCGTGACAGTGACAATAAGACTGAGCTCTTTATGTTCCTTGCAGACAAGATAGTGACCCTAACCTCCACCTTCAATTAGGACCATGTACAATTGTATATAGGATGCTGAGTCCATTAAATATTTGGGTGTCTCATTACCTAGGGACCTCACGAGACTGTATAACATAAATTATGGCCCGCTAAATTCAAAGATAAAAACTGATATACAAAGATGGAACGTTATTCCCTTTTTAAGCTCCCGGAGAGAGTCAATCAAGATGAATATTCTTGCACGGATGTTGTACTTTTTTCAATGTTTACCAATTGAAACACTATCTAAACAGTTCTTAGAGTGGGACAGAGTAATAGCGAAGTATCTGTGGCAAGGGAAAAGGGCCAGAATCAAATTTAAAACATTGCAATTAAGAAAAGAAAAAGGGGGAATGGGCCTTCGCTGCTTACAGGACTACTACTATGCAGCTCAGCTGAGGCCTTTAGTCTGCCTGTGCTTGCCTACATACACTGCAGCATGGAAGGAAATTGAAGGAACGATGATAAAGGGAGTTCCAATAACAGCTTTATTAAGTGATAATAAATTACAAAAAGAACGTGAGATCCCGGAGGACTCTATTACAGGCAGCTTCCTGAAATCCTGGCAGGAAATAGTCAAAATTTGCAGATTAAAAGATGCATCTAAGATTGTGAGGTGGTGTGCCTATGATTCAGACTTTACACCAAATAAAACCGACGGCAGATTTAAGCCATGGATCACAAAAGGTCTAACTACCTATTATTCATTTGTCCACAAGGGGGCATTTCAGAGTTTTGAGGCCCTACAGAAGGATCATGGTCTAGGGAGAGACGATTTCTTTAAGGTACTTCCAAGTGAGAGATTATTATAACAAAAATATTAAAGAAGCGTTAAGAAAAGACGAGTCAGTGTTCACGGAGGTATTTTTATCATTAACGAAGTCCAGATCTTGTAACAAAATTATCTCCAAATTATATAATACCATACAATTAGCCAAACAAGAGAATACAGAACACATAAGGAGGAAATGGGAAACGGCAATATGGACAATTATTACACAGGAGAGTTGGGAGACAATATGTCAATTACAATGGATCTCAACTGGGTCAAACACCTGGCGAGAGTTCTGCTGGAAAAATATAACAAGATTTTTTTATCACACCCACTCAGAAGCGTCATCAGTGTAACGGGGATGCTTGTTGGAGACTCTGTGGATCTATTTGAGCCACTTCTATGTTTTTTTATGCGGTAGTCTGCTATGCGGTAGTCTGCTGGGGGGCAGGGAGCACCGAGAGGGACAGGAAGAGACTGAATAGACTGGTCAGGAGGGCCAGTTCAGTTCTGGACTGTTCTTTGGACTCCCTGGAGGAGGTGGGTGAGAGGAGGATGTTAACAAAGCTTGTATCCATCATGGACAATCCCTCTCACCCACTGCATCAGACTGTGGGGGCTTTAAGCAGCTCCTTCAGCAGCAGACTTGGACTTCCACCTTGCAGGACAGAGCGCTACCGCAGGTCATTCCTCCCCTCTGCAATAAGACTTTACAACGAACTGTAATAAAACTGGACTCACACCACCACTTTTTACTGGCATTTAAATTGTGTATATTGTAGATAGTTTTATTTTTCTTCTCCCTTTTTCTAAATTTTTTCTTAATTATTACATTTATTTAAGTTCTTAATATTAGGATTTTTATTTTTATAACTGCATTTTTGCACTCTTTGTCTGTGATGCTGCTGTGACAAAATAATTTCCCCCATGGGGGATCAATAAAGGAATATTCTATTCTATTCTATTTGGGACTGCCAAGTAATAAAATCTTACTGGGAAGAGATCCACAAACATATTAAAAATACATTTAATGTGAACATTCCATTAAAATGTAAGACTATGTTCTTCGACAACATAATGTTTGAAACATGGAACATAAAAGACAGCTAGTAAGAAATGTGTCACTAGGAAATGGTTAAAAGTGAAACCTCCCACCATCGACGAATAGATTGAAATTATTTATGAAATTTATGTTATGGAGAAGATCTCCACAGGATCTGGTCCAAATGGACTGAGTATGTAAAACCAATCAGATCTGATTTTATTTGACCATACTTGTGCTTTGTGTGAACCTACCCTCTTTTATTTTATATTTTTTGTATATGGTGTATTGATTACATGTAGGGGTGCGCTCCCCGGTTTTGTTGTTTTTGGGTTATTGCTTCCACCTGGAACGGTTTGGGTCCGTGGGAGAAAGCTCCAGAAGGGCAGTTTGTACAACATCATTGTATCCTTGACAAACTGAATTACTGTATGTGTGAAGTGATGTATGTGATGGAGGTCTGCCTTTCTCAATAAAAAGAGAATTTCAAAAAAAAAAAAAAAGATAGTGACCCTGTGTCCTGACGATGTTGTGGTTGTGACCAAAGGGGAGCAGGCTCTTGCAAACAAAGCCATCAGCCTTGAAAACTTGAGTCCTTGTAACCATGAAGAAGCTGACTCCAGAATTTTCACTCATGCTCTTCATGCAGCCAAGCATCAGATGAAGTGTTTGTTGATTAAGGCATGTGACACAGATATTCTTGTTGTTGCAGTCAATGTTTTTTCGACTCTTCAGGATGCAGGCATAGAAATGCTTTGGCTGGAATTTGGGCAGGGTCAGTCCATTCGGTGGTTACCAATACATGACATGGTGGTGAATCTTAGCCCAGAAAAATGCAGTGGCATGCTGTTCTTTCGTGCCTTCACTGGATGTGATGTTGTGTCAGCTTTTCGTGGCAAAGGAAAGAAAACGGCATGGCATGCATGGGAGGTTTGTCCTGAAGTGGGCCCTGTCTTCGGGAAGCTCAGCCAATACCCACCTATCATAGAAGATGCAGACCTCAACATCCTTGAGAAGTTTGTCATCACTATGTATGACAAGCATAGCACAACAGCCAAGGTTGATGAGACAATACTGGACTTGTTTGCTCGGAAGCAAAGGTCTTATGATGCCATACCACAAGTGCATCGCTTGTTCAGCATGTCAAACGGTCTGCCTTCCAAGCTGCCTGCATATGGGGCCAAGCAACAGTCTGCCAAATTGAAACTGAAAGCCCTGCCAACTGGGGCTGGCAAAAAGATGGTGAGGTCTGGCAAGTTATTTGGTCAACTCCACCAATTGTTCAAACGAGTGAGCAATTAACAAAATGTGGCTGCAAGACTGAATGCAGAGGACGCTGTAAATGCTATCACTTCGGTCTAAAGTGCACCCAGTTCTGTGCTTGTGAATGTGAGAAGGACTAACGGAATCAATCAGCTGACGACCAGAAATGTTTGAGTTGTTGAGAACCATAAAACATGCAGCCTTTGTATTTCTGTTTTTATACCTACCTAAAATGAAAATAACAAAACAAAAACAAAAACAAAACAAAAAATTTAAAAAAAAAAATAAAAAAATGGGGGAGACAAAGACAGTCTCTACGTGACCTTCCCTACAAGTAGGGAAAAACCAAATTTTTGGGCAGACATCTTGGATTTTGAGGCGGCCATCTTGGATTTTTAGCAGGATAGTGTTCTTTTCTCAGAAAGTACATCCTAGACATCATTTGTGCCAAATCTGGCGCTTGTCTCATGAAGCGAACGATCGTTTCACTAATCTGCTCCACTATTATGGTTTTTATTTAAAGTTCCTCCTGGAAGACATAATAATATTCAGCAGTGGCTAACTAGTTATTATGGGTCATACATATGAAAATCATATCTATATGATAAAGGGAAAAAGAAAAGATGGGGTAGTGGGGCGGAGGGGAGCCGGAGCAGGTCAGGTTCCCCTTTTATGCAGCTTCACTATCGCAGTTTAGTTAGAGTAGGGGGGCCTCAAGTGCTGTCTTGGCTCATAGTTGTTGTTTTGTTGTGTTAGGGCTCTGTTAGTCAGTATGGAGCTTTATGCAAGTTCAGTTGTTTCACAAGGGAGAGATCTAACAGGACAGTAACATGTAACATATGCCACGATAAAAGGCAAAAATTACCTGTTCAACAAAAACTCTGCTGTCTCGCAGTCTGTTTTTAGGCCCAAATCCTGGCAGAGCTTTCTCCACTGCTCTACAGATGTTTATTCGAGTTAGATTCCTCGCTTGGTCACAATTCCCCTTCGACTCTGCCCTTTCTTCTGTCAGCTTGTGTTTTCTTAACTTTTTGCGGTGGAGCAAGCAGAAGTGTTTATTTTTTCCCCCGTCCTTCTCCATCACAGCTCCTGTAGCTGAGCTGCTACACTACTTTTAGCTGCTCAGAGCTACGAGGAGGGCCGGGAGAGTAGGAGGGGATGAGCCAGATGAACCAATTTTTTCCCATTCTTTTTTCTCTTCACTTTGTGGAGATCGCACTATAGGACCATGATCGCCATATAAACCAGGATCATAATAATTACCAATCTCTCCAATCGTCAACCATGCCTTTAAACAGGAAAACCCAGATCTGGTCTTTCTACAGGAGACTGAGTTGGAAAAGAATGGTTTGTTATTATTGCAAAGAGATTGGGTAGGGAAAGTTCTTTATAGTGCCAGGTGCTCTAGTCAGAGGGGAGTTGACAATTTAATTTGTAAATTTTTAATATCAAAATACTCAAACAACACACACACACACACACACACACACACACACACACACACACACACACACACACAGTGATGCCAGAATATCCCTTAAACTGGGTTAGATTATTATATTATATTGCAACTCCAAGGAATCTGTAGTATGGCAGGCAATCTCCTCCTTTTTAGCTTCGCAGAGGGACAAGGCAGGGCTGCCCTCTGTCCCCCTTATTATTTGCTCTGGTCCTTGAACGATTAGCAATTTCTATCAGGCAAAATAATAATATGATTGGCATTAAGGCTGGTGGCAAGGAGCACAAATTGCATCTGTACATGGACGATATTTTATTACTGTGCAGGCGGCCATCTGGCCTGACATATTTGGGTATAAAGATCACTCCTCGGCTGGACAGTATTATGACATCAACCTTCTCCCTCTAACTCACACAGTTGAGCTTATATTGCAAAATTGAACAAAATTCAGACTGTCACTTATAGGTAAAATTAATATTTTAAGATGGTAATTGTTCCCAAAATTAATTACCTAAGTTATATGCTACCATTAAGTTTCCCACAAAATGCATTACTCAAATATAATAAAGCTGTGTACAGCTTTTTATGGGTGGGTGAAAAACCTTACATAAATCAGACAAAACTGTATGCTGCTATGGAGGATGGAGGACTGGGCCTCCTTCACATAGCCTGGAATCATTATACTTTCTGTTTCAAACAACTGTCAAAATTATACATGTCAGCTGACCAAGCCCCTGTATGGGTGTCTATAGAGGAGAAAATTGTCACTATATGTTCTGTATATAGAGTTTTTCCCTGTGATTTGAGTGTATTTTCCCTTGTGTTTCTATGCCCTATTGTTCCTGTTCCCCTCTAGTCTTGTCTTGTCCAGTGAGTTTTGATTTTGTGTCTGACCCCGTTTCCCTCATGTTCTCAGTGTTTTATTCTCTTTTATCAGTGTTTCCTGTTTTACTTTGTAGTAGTTTATTCCCTGTGTTTCTGGTCTTGCTTTACTACCTCAGTTTGGGAGAGGGATTTAGAGGAAGTGATATCTAGTGAAACATGGGCGCAAATTATTAAAACATGGTTGAAAGTATTGAGGGAAATGCAGACCTGTTTGATTAGTTATATTATTAATAGAACTTACTGGACCCCATGTAAAATGGCACAGTTAGGAATTACAAATTCTGACTTATGTTGGAGATGTGACGCTTTTCGTGGTACTTTTGTTCATATGTTGTATTCATGCCGCATGGTAGACTTACTACGGTCTAAGATTATCTCTTTTATTAACACTGTAATGTCCTGTACTCTGGTACAACAACCACTGCTTTGTCTATTAAGTGTGTTGCGGAAGTGGCCTAACTGTACACCAGATGGTATGGTGTATGCTGCACTTATAACTGGATGCAGGACAGTGCTGCAACTTCGGAAAACGAAAGAATGGTTTGATGAGATGGCCAAGATTGCTTCCTACGAACGGCTTAGTTATAGATTGCTAGATAAGGAAGACTTATACATGAAAATATGGGGTTTGTATACTGCAGGATCTTGATAAATTGGAGGGTTGCGCCCTCAAGCTAACTTTTGTCACCAGTCTGCATTTGTATGCACATGTTAATATTAGCGTAGTAATACTGCCTCTGTGGTTTTTTTTTTTTTGTCTTTGTTTTTTGTCGAGGCTCTGTTTGGCTTTTGTTTGACTTGGGTTATTGTATATATGTATTATTTTTTCCTGTTGAAAACTAATAAAAAGTGAATTACAAAAAAAAAGAAAAAAAAGAAGTAGCAGGTAACATAGGAGCTATTCAGCTCTCGGACACTAATGTCTTTGTGACTTGATGAAAGTTAATATCATATTAGCTTTCTTACTCGCATTGCAATGCACTAATGCACATGCTTGTTCCGCGATTGTCCTCTCTGCTTTTCAGAGTCTGGCCTGCGTGCCGGGGCTATGGGGGCAGAGCTTGCAGTTGTAGTGCAGGAAATCTCAGTGTGTCTGAACCTGCCGTTTGGGTCTGTGAGAAGTTCACAGCGATTTGATTGCAGAAATACTCAGAAATGCAACTTCAAACTTACTGAAGTTGCCATATGAAAAATGCCATATGGACATGTAGACAACAAGAAAAAAATGATATTCAACGGAGTGGGTCTTTAAGAAGACGGGGCGATTACTTTTTCACTTAGAACCAGGCTGGTTTTGATTGCTTTTTCCCTTATAAATAAAGTCATTGATTGATAATTGATATTCACATTAGTTTTATGATCACATGTGTGACAAAAAGCAAAAATAAATATATACATATATACATATACACTATATACATACTGTACATGCATAATCAAGCCCAAAATTATTCATACCCCTGGCAAATTTTGATGTTGGTTTAAGGACAGTCATGAGTTCAACAAAGGAGCTCACTGAGAACCTGCGATTGCCCACTGTGGCTGCTCACATGTACGAAGACCATAAGACCATATCCAAAGACAACTGGGTCAGAATGGACTTCATTGGATGGGGTTTTAACCAATCAGAATGCAGTTTTCTATTAGCCAGTAATGATAAACCATAAAATAATACTAACCTGCAGTCCAGTGATTACGAGGATTCCCCTGCCCTTCAAACTGACCTGAGGAGACATAAACACACAGTTTACACACATTTTACATGTGCACACACACACACGCACACACGCACACACACACACACACACACACACACGTGTGCACACACATTCACTACTGTGTATCTGTACATTGTTTTTATATTTCTCTGTAAACATGATAAGTTGAGGTTGTTTACTGTTTCTGCTGCAGTGGTTCATACAGTCCTCGTGGCTGCCATAGCGATTTTGATTACCAAAACAACCACCATAGAGGAAGGGGTAACAGGTGGAGCTTTCAGGGTCGTAGTAGAATGCGGGAAAGGCGGCGCGGCAGGGACCAGGATCAGGGGTCACTGTGCATCTGTCTGCGCAATGACAGAGGAGGGAAGGTGGTTTAAGTCCTGTGTTGACTAACAGTTGACTACTCAGGTGCTTGCATCACACCTGTCATCATCTTCATCAGGGTTTATTACCTGTGTATTTTACAGAGACATCAGCAGCGGCAGCTTTCTGAGAGGATGGCTGCACCGACACTGTAGAAACAGAGCACACCTGGACTAAATACATCCCTCGCACAGGTGGGTTTACCTGAACGGCAGTATGTGTCTCACTTGAACAGCTGTGTGTCTAACCTGTACAGCTGTGTTTGTCTCACCTGTACAGTTGTGTATCTCACCTGTACATGCAGCTATGCAGCTTTCCATGCTCAGGTGGTTATTCTTGTTCCCTCCACAGCCTCCATAGATGAATGATTGACAGCTACCTGTCTGTCTGTTGTAGTACCAACGTCGAAATGCTGCTCTGCAGTGACCCACCTGAGGCTCCGCCCCACAACGCTCTGATTGGTCAGGTAAATAACACATGATCAGTATGTGTGATATTGACAGAGAGGATACAGAGAACTTTCTTCTGAGAGCTCGGACACCGGACTATAGCTTCAGACTGACAAATACAGTTAAGTTCAGAATAATAGCAGTCCCACATCACTAGCAAGATACATCACCATTTTTGTTAGAATTTCAACTTCTACACTGCAAGTAAGTTTCTAGAAGGTTTAGTAAAAGTATAGAAAACCAACAGACCCAACAGGCATGACATGCATGCTGCTGATTATGAGAAACCGAATCATTTACTGAAAGGGGCATGTTCAAAAAATAGCAGTGCCGAGTTCAATTAGTAAGGTCATTGATTATGTGAAAAAAATGGGTGTTAAACAGGTGGCCCTTAGTTAAGGATCAAGGCAACTAATGCTGCATATGCTGGGTGTGCATTTGTCCTTGAAAATCAGAGTAAAATGCGTTGTTCAAGACACTATCCAGAAGAAGAGCGTCCTTTGATTAAGAAATTAATAAAAGAGGGGAAAACCTATAAAGAAGTGCAGAAAATGGTAGGCTGTTCAGCTAAAATGATATCAAATGCTTTAAAATGGCAGCCAAAACCCGACAGGCACGGAAGAAAAAGAAAAACGACTATTCGAATGGATCAGAGAATAACCAAAATGGCAAAGGCTCAGCCAATGATGAGCTCCAGGAGGATCAAAGAAGATCTAGGAGTGCCTGTGAGTACTGTAACAATCAGATGACATCTATGTGAAGCCAAGCCACTAGCAAGAGGCCCCTGCAAAGTCCCATTGTTAAAAAAAATACATGTGCCAAAGCGGTTACAATTTGCCAAAGAACACATTGACTGGCCTAAAAAGAAAAGGCGTAATATTTTGTGAACTGATGAGAGTAAGATCATTCTTTTTGGGTCTAAGGGCCACAGACAGTTTGTCAGACGTCCTGCAAACAATGAATTCAAGCCACAGTATACAGTGAAGATGGTGAAGCATGGTGGTGCAAGCATCATGATCATATGGGGATGTTACTTGTACTATGGTATTGGTCCTATTTATCGCATACCAGGGATCATGGATCAGTTTGAGTACATCAGAATACTGGAAGGAGTCACGTTGCCGTATGTTGAAGAGGAAATGCCCCTGAAATGGTTGTTTCAACAAGACAATGACCCCAAACACACCAGCAAGCGAGTAAAATCATGGTTCCAGACAAATAGAATTCAAGTAATGGACTGGCCAACACAATCCCGGACCTTAATCCCACAGAAAGCTTGTGGGCTTATATAAAAAATACTGTTCATGAGGCAAAACCAAGAAATGCAGAGGAATTGTGGAATGCAGTACAATCGTCCTGGGCTGCAATACCTGTTGACTGGTGCCAGAAGTTGGTCGACTTCATGTACCACAAATGTGAAGCAGTTATCAGAAACCGTGATTATGCAACTAAGTATTAGTTTATTATTCTCGGGAAGTTGAATCTTAAAGCATTTCTTAGATTATAGTGTACATTTTTGAGTTTGTAAAGAAAGATGTCAACACTGCTACTTTTTTGAACATTACATTTCTTGACTTTCTGTAAAATATTATCAAATCAATTACTTTTTCCAATTTTCTTGCTTTGAAATAGAATGTGCAGTGTCGCCAATGCATTTGTGTTCATTAAAATACATGTTATTTGAAGAATTTTGAGGTTTACTCACCCTTTTAAACACACTGCTATTATCATGAACATAACTGTATACCTGCATAAAGCTTACCTAGTGATCCTGCAGACAAGAGGAACATGTTACTGACATACACATACACCTGTGCGCATGCACACCAAACACACACCCACACACAACATCAATGGCAAGTGTTATACTACAGGTGCGTTGCTTGTGTTACCTGCTCTCTGCGTGGTTGAAGAGTCTGTAATATCAGCCTCAACTTCACCTACAGACAGACAGTCAGACAGATAGACAGTTTTACAGCTAGTTTTACAACTGCAGTTGTCAGTATTAGTTCATCAGTCAGTCTAAATTGTTAAAGAAGGGTATTATGCATTTTTCAAATTTTCTTCTTGATTCCTCTTTGATAGCTCAACATAATGTTCGGACCAAAAAACTTTTTTTCAGCCACCGCCTGAAACACTTCATTTTATCTGCTGTCCCATTGAAATGTCCCATTCTTGCCTGATAGAGGATTTAGGGTGCTCAACAGTTCAAGGTCCCCTTTGTCCTGGTTTTAGTGTAATGATGCTCCAAATGTTTTCAATGGGAGACAAGTCAGGACTGCAGGCAGGCCAGTTTGTTAGCAAGACTCTTCTACTGCAGAGCCGTGCTATTTTAATCCCTGCAGAATGTGGTTTGTCATTGTCTGCAGAGCGTACTGCATACCGTGTTGGACAGTAGAAAAAGTATGACTGCAAGCCGGCCGTTATTGTGTCATATGCTTAGCCCCGTCTAGCTTGTTTCCGGTATACAGACATACATCATTCCCAGGAAAACTGAAAACAACGCTGCATATCCAGTAATGCACTGAAAAAAATCTAATATGTGATTTCTATTGCCCAAAACCTACAATGAAAAGGTGTTCCACCTATACAACGACTCATATATCTGACAGCATTCGGCTGTCATCCTGGAACTGTAAATATAGCAGAGTCCTGCTCATCAGACAGAAGATTGGCTTTGGGTCATGTTACGTTGTCCTCATTATCCTGCTATAAATAAAAGTGGTTGCATCTTGATAAAACTTGTTAACTGATGTTGTCTGTGTGGTGCGGTCTTATGCAATCTCCCGTCTCTTGTAAATTTATTTATAATACCGTCCTGGCTGCTGATTGGGTTAGACTGCTTTAACATTTACTCAGCTTTCTGTATTAAAGCTTTAGACCCCCTCTAATGCCAGCTGCCTGTCCAGTTGTGTGATGTAAACAGCACTGCTAGTTTGTGCAGCGCTGAAGGCACACGCTGTGTGGCCAACATCCCATGCACAGTAAAGTATATAAAGGATTAGGAATAGAAAAAATTGAGGTGGTGAAAAAATACAGGATAAAAAATTAATTGCATGAAAACAAAACATGTCATTCTTGTCAGTTGTTTGTAGTAATAATGCTGCAAGAAGGAGGAGAAGACAAGCTGTCAGAAGGAGAAATCTTTTGGCTGTCCTCTTGGTCACTTCCAATTTGTAGATTATGGTCCATAGAACAATTCTGGTTCGAGTGTCAAGAAAGCAGATTGAAGAAAAATATTTATTTTGCCCAATTTCAAAAATGACCAAAATCGGAATAATAATTTTCTTAACAATGTCTTATTTTCCCCACAATTGCTGTGTAATATATATTTTTAATTACTGTGTACCACTCCTATATTTTATTTTGTAAATAGTTGTATAACGTAGGCTACTATTAGTTGTGCTATCTACTGCCACTAGAGAGAAGGCTTGCAGGTGTATCTTAATTAATCAGACTTGCTAGCTGGTTAGTTAGTTATCAGACAGTTGCCATGTGCATGAGCTGTATTGGTTCTTCTCTTGTGATATTGATATGTTGAAGGTAAGCAAACAAAGTTAAACATCAAGAAGTATCCTAAAGTGTTTTATGAATATGGACAGTCATGTGGGATAAGTGGCCGAAGTAATGCATCCCAAAATATTATGAACTAGTAGTAACCAAAGGCTACAGTATGCTAGCACTGGCAAAGCCTTTAGAATAGCAATTATGCTGAGGAAGAAATTATGTTTTCATTATAATTCCCTACCTTCTAAATGCCATGCAGTAGTGTGAGTATGTGTTTAATTATTATTTCTATTTCACTTATTCTAGTATAATATGCTTTACTGTTATGGGCAAATGTACATGAACTGCTGACAGCTTTCTTGTATGTTGAGGCAAACTGTGAAAGTACAACAAATAGAAAAGTATTCATCCATATGTTTTATGCTTTCTTCATTATATGATGCTAACAGAAAACAACACCTGGAAGAGGTTCAAGAAGCTTTGGATGGTTTGTCTAAATTAGTTATTTTTATGAGATGGCTATGACAACAAATTGGCAGTTATGCATACTGTGCAAAAGCAAACAGAGGAGAATCTTGTTTGCCCTCTTGCAAATCCAGTTGCCAGTCATAGAGATGGAGCCTACACAGAAATTATTAGCCTTCTAAGTCAGTTCAGATCAATTGGCGCTGCTCCTTACCCAGATATAGAACTTCCAGATGCAGAATCGATGCAGCAAAATCGTGCATCCTGGCATAAAACTTGCCGTCAGCTTTACAGGGCATCAGCACTTGACAATGCAAAGAAAAGACATTCTGAAGGTTCCTTTCCTGCAACAAGAAGATCCTGCCAGACTGGTGCACCTGTTAATCGTAATAAGTGTCTCTTTTGTGGTGACGAAACAAATACAGCAGACCATTCGTTCCAGAAGGTACAACTCACCAAAGAGATACACGACAAGGCAGTTGCACTGGGAGATCGTATCGTGGCACTCCTTGCAGAAGGAGATCTAGTCGCTATTGAAGCCAAGTATCATCGGAATTGCTACAGAAAGTTCATCCGACGTTATGATGTGATTGTTAATAAAGACACAGCAGGTGAGAACTTTGAGGTCACAGCAGAAAATGAGTTGTTCCAATTCATGAAGGAAGAAGTCACTGGAGGTCGTAAGGTTTTTTCATTGCAAGATCTGACAGAAATGATGACAGAGAGATTGGAACAACACAGAATTCAGAAGACTGTGAACCGGACAAGGCTAAAGGAAAAAGTTCTCAAACACTTCCCGGATATGACAGAGGAAAAAGGTTCCCGTGACCAAGTTTTTATTATTTGTTCAAAAGAGGCTAGAAAAATTATATCGGATGCAACTCAAACACCAGATGAGGAAGCACATACATTACTGATGGCAGCATCAATTCTAAGAAAAGCTGTTATGAAACATACAACTCCATTCAGGTTTGATGGTTCATTTCCCAGTGGTTGTGAAGAGTCATCTGTTCCACAACGTATGAAGTATTTCTTCCGTCATCTCCTTTCAGGGCCCAAATCATCACCAGAAGAAGAAAGTTCCAGGGAGTTCCTGTCTGTGAGTCAGGTCGCCATGCTAAATATGACATCTCTTTCTGCTAAATTGAATTGTGAGCCTCCACTTGCAGTGTACCTGGCACTCGAATTGCACTCGCAAACAAAAAGCAAGAAGTTAGTAGAACTCCTACATAAAAATTCTCTTAGCGTGTCATATAAGAAAGTCCTCAGCATTGAGGCTAGTTTTGCACGGGCTATTGCACAACAAACAAGGAACAACGCAGATATAGTCTGTCCTACAAATGTGCGTAAACAAATTTTCACAGTTGGAGCCTTGGATAACTTGGATCATAATCCCACATCACGTAATTCAAGCTCATCCTTCCATGGAACTGGGATTTGTGCCATCAAAGTGCGATCCCTCATGGAGGAATTTGCAGGTCTTGTCGACACTCCATATCAAGCATCTCCAAGGCTGAAAGAAGCAGCGACAAACTTTGTCTGTAGGCTGTACACTGTTGACTCAAACAAGGGCACTGATGTTGATCAATTCTCACAGAAAACTAGGGATGTGGAGAGAATTCCCCCAACTAGTGATGCTTTGGATCAACATCTGAATAGGAGTGTCTTCCAAGCAAGTGTCGCCTATATGTAGCCCATATGTATGTATCTGCATGAATTTGGGTATTGCACTACTATGTCAATTTAATGAATTAATTAATGGTTAATTAATCAAATCATTCATTCCTTCATTCAGGTCCATGATGCCCATGCACAGTCCAACTAATTATGGGTGGAAGGAAGAGAATGGGAAGCTGCTTCCCATTTGGACCACTCTGCCCCTGGCCAAGGATATATTAAAGTTAGATGTTAAGTGCTCCTGTAAAACTCCTTGTAAGTGTACACGTCTTTGCAAATGTAATTGTGAAAACTAGCTTGGCCAGAGTCCAAGATTGTATGATTGTGTTTAATTCATTTTTTTCTTCTGTAAAATATTGTATTGGAAGTTCTGAAGGCCAATGGCAACATACTGTGGTACAGTTAAACTGTATTATAGTTGTTGGAGTGTAATAACCATGTTTTAGCTCATTATTTGCTGTTGTCTCATTTATGTAAAACTTCATATAATAACTATAAATATTTAAAACATCAATATTTGAAGTCCTGTTGATTTCTCACACAGTATTGACATGGTACTGTAATTAAAATATATATTAGACAGCTATTGTGGGAAAATTAGACACTGTTCAAAGAAACATAATTTCTGATTTTGGTCATTTTGGAAATTGGGCAAAAAATATATTTTTCTTCAATCTGCTTTCTTGACACTCGAACTAAAATTGTTCTTTAGACCATAATCTACAAATTAGAAGTGAAAAATAAACTTTGGCACAAATTTGAAATGACTGAGTATCCAGGCACCCCACTACCACTCCCTCCCAAGCCAAACTCTGATCAGGCGCTTTGCATTGTGGGTAACCGTTGGAAAAGCAGACTGGACTGATGCATACTGTGAAACTTCCCTGAATCAGTATGTCATGCGGTATTTTTGGCATACTGCAACTTTCGTATTAGTTTGAACACTGCACACTACATTTTGGGCAAATCAGTACAGACTGCTAGTAAAGTATTTAAATTTGAAAACAGCCTCAGACTTTCTGAATGCCCTTTTTATACCTAATCATGTCTCTATATCAACTTTTAACCTGTTTGGTTGTTCTTCTAAAAGAACTCTTTGCCTGTTTGGTTGTTTTTCTAATAAAACTCTTTACTCTTTAAAAAGATAAGATATTCCTTTATAGGGCCCGACCGATTTATCGGTGAGCTGATTAAATCAGCCAATTTTAGCCCGTTTGAGACTAATCGGTAATCGGCCAAAACTCGCCGATTGTCACCGATATTTTCAGAAATAGAATGCGGAGAATAAGATTCGGTTTCACTTCGAAAGTGTTCCGCCATTTGAAAAGATCCCCAGACTTATCCTGTAGATGGCACAGCAACCTCATGACAATCTTCATCCACTAACTACCTCACAGCACAGCAGAGTGACAGATTTGTAGCGAGCAGCAGCAGGGACGCGCGGATTACAGTGGTCTGCCTTAACGGTAAATAAACCAGTTTGTAAAATACACAATAAGTCAACAAGTTTCAGTTCAACCCACTCCACAATGTTCCCTGCTATGCTGGTCTCGGTCATGCCAAGTTAACAGTGAAGCACCATGTAATATGCAAGCTAAAGTTAGAGTTAGCCATCTGCTATTAGCCTTGCTACACTGTTAGCTGTGCCAGTGATGGCAGAATAAACAACAGTACAAATTACGTGATTGAGCTACTTCTCTTACTGAGGCAGCTGCGTGTCTCCAATTGAGACCGGACCGGAAATGAGTAACGTGAGTTAAGACACTGAGGCACAGTCGGCAAGGGGGGTGGGGGGATAGTTGAAAACGCTTCTCTGGTCCGAGTTTGATTCATGATAAATACCTGGAATATTACTGATTCGATCAGTCGGTCTTCCTGTCAGCATGAACAGCAGTAGCCTACAGTATATCTAGTATTCCTTAATTTTTATGATGTATGCGAGTTAGCTTTTTTTATTTATTTATTTATATAGGCTATTTATTTTAGAGGATGACGAGTGTGTGAGTTTGACAAGAGGGAGGTTGCGGAAATAATCAGACTCATACCCGCTATAGTCTGAATAATAAGCTGAAAAGAATTAGTTTATCATCTTTATTACTGTTAAAATAAATAGCCGGGGGTGTAGTGTAACTCATATTATGTAAACACAACTAAGAAAAATGCTTAATGTAAGGATTTGAAATGAGTTTTCTGCCTTTATTTCTTTGAAGAAGTTTTTGAAAGGCTCAAAAGCAGCCATTTGTTTAAAAACACAAGTAAATATGTAGATATATTACTTAAATTAACAACATTTTAAAACTTCATAAAAAATGTAAAAAATCTTATTAATCGGTAATCGGAACAAACAGCCAAACAGCTCGAATATTTGTTTCGTCTGACCACAGAACTTTCCTCCAGAAGGTCTTATCTTTGTCCATGTGATCAGCAGCAAACTTCAGTCGAGCCTTAAGGTACTGCTTTTGAAGCAAGAGCTTCCTTCTTGCACAGCAGCCTCTCAGTCCATGGATTTGCAAAAAACGCTTGACTGTGGACACTGACAGCTGTGTTCCAGCAGCTTCTAATTCTTGGCAGATCTGCTTTTTGGTGGTTCTCGATTGACTCTTCCCCCTCCTGACCAATTTTCCCTCAGCAACAGGTGATTGCTTGCGTTTTCTTCCTGATCGTGGCAGTGACAAAACAGTGCCATGCACTTTATACTCACAAGCAGTTGTTTGCACTTCTGCTCTTGGGACCTGCAGCTGCTTTGAAATTGCTCCAAGTGGCTTTCCTGAACTGTTCAAGTCAATGATTCGCTTTTTTAGATCCATGCTGAGCTCCTTTGACTTTCCCATTGTAGCATTGGTGGGCGTTTGTATCCAATGAGCCGTATTTAAATGGCCTCAGAGAAGTCACCAGCTGTAGTCACTCATAATCACTCACAAGAAGTTAAGAGACCATGCTATGAAGCTCATTTCACTGACACAACTTTCTAAGTCACCAAAATTGCTAATTCACGTATGTATATTTTTGACCCAGCAGATTTTGTCAATTTTTCTGTTAACCGATAATAAAGTCATAAAAGAACTAAACTTCATGAATGTTTTTTGTGACAAAGAAGTATCTATTCCAATCACTCTATCAGAGAAAAATCAGAGTTGTAGAAATAACTGAAAACTCAAGAGAGCCATAGCATTATGTTCTTTACAAGTGTATGTAAACTTTTGACCACAATATATATATATATATATATATGTACACATACATTTGCGTCCCCCCAAAGATCGTTTCATGCAGTTTCCCCCCCTCCCCTCCCTGCACTGGTAGGCAATGTTAATGTGAGACCTGAGCCTGTTTTGCTTTGCAAAGACCCTCAATTCTTGGGGCAATGTTTGATAAACATCAGTCATCATCTGGGAGAGAGGCTAAAACCTCTGGTAGCACACCAAGGATCCTTACAAACACACGCCCACCCGCCCACCCTCCCACCCTCCCGCACGCCTGCCTTCCGCCCGCACGCAGCAGCAGTGATCTAACGTAAACATTGGTATTAAGTGTAATAAACTTCATCACCAGAGTCTCCCTCATGAACACACCTGCCTGACCAAAACAGCCCCTCTTATCCACACAGACACATCTGTGTTCACCAAGCTACAGCTTTCACAGCAGCTAATTACACCACACCACTGTTTAACTGAGATATGACATAAAATTAGTGCTACAACTAACGATTATTTTTTTGTCGACTAATCTATCGACTAGTCGTCCGATTAATCACTATCTTCTTTTTTTATAAACACCTATTTCCGGGGTGTCGGCGTTTCAGGTGCTCATGCATCGCCGTGGTGCTGCCATGGTAGGAAAGCTGAGCTCTGATCAACGTGTTTTTTTGGTTTGTTCTCCGTAAAATGTTCCAAAACTTTTTAAGATTTGGGTCGGAGTTTTGGAGCGTCTTTTTCCGTTTGTTCTGCCATAATGTGTGCACTCTTCTTCTGTGTTTGCTCGCGGGATGTAAACAGCGAGCACTACTGCCCCCAGCACATCCTGTAGTGCACTGCAGTTATAGATGAGCATGAGGCGCCGGCATGTGATTCTTAACAACAATAACACGACGCGTCGACGCTTCGTTTTCGTGTCGATGAATTTGTCGTGTCGACATAATCGATTACGTCGACTAATCGTTGCAGCCCTAGAGAAAATAACGGAGGGAAAAATTTCTTACCTTCAATCTGGTATCTTAAACAGTCAGCATCAGTCATCCAGCTCCAACAGATTAATAATCCACCAATATTATTCCCGTTTACATCCTGTACATCCCATTCCTCACGGTCAGTGTCTCCTCCATTTGCATTGTGTGATTAAAATAAAAGTTTTAAGCGCTGTTTCTGGTCGGCCAGCTCAGTTGTTTACTCCTGGTCTTCTTCTACCAGTTCACGGATCCAACACTGTGAGTTAGTCACTGCCTGTCTGGGGCTGTGATCCGGACTCGGTACCAAGAACAGAGATGCTCCTCCTGTCAGCCTCTATCAGGACACCTGAAGCTAAAGGGAGCTAAAACTTTTTTCGCACAATGCAAATGGATGAAATGCGCTGACCACGAGGAACAAGATATAAACGGTAAATAATATCGGTGGGTTATTGAACTGTTCGAGTTGGATGACTGACAATGCTGACTGTTTTGGACACTAAAACAGTGTCTATTCCTCTATAAGAACTTTTTACCTGTTTGGTTCCTCTTCTACAAGAACTCTACCTGTTCGGTTGTTCCTCTATATCAACTTTTTACAAATATCATAAACAGCAGTGGTGTTTCATGACAGAATTACATTAACCAGTTTACCAATTTATAAAACTCTGTAATTAATAGCATTGTTCAGAGTGTCTCTGAGGTTGCACCGCTGACGTGAATTGAGTAGTTACTTGTGTTGAGCGAAGGAAGGAGAGCAGCAGTGTTGACTTGAGGTTGGGGAGTAGCAGCAGTTGACTCATCAGGGAGAACAGGACCTACATACACACACACACACACACACATGCAGGCACCCACCCACACACACACACACACACACACACACACACACACACACACACACACACACACAGGCACGCACGCACACCATCATCATCATCAATTATCATCATCAGCAGCAGCAGCAGCAGCAGCAGCAACATGATTATGGCTGTGCATGTGTGTGTGTGTGTGTGTGTGTGTGTGTGTGTGTGTGTGTGTGTGTGTGTGTGTGTGTGTTTGCTTGTGTGTACCTGTCACTCCCCTGCAGGTGTCCTCACACTCTTCCTTAGAGTCAAACATGTTAGCATTAGCATCACAGCCACCGTAGATGAAGCTGCGGCAGCTCTGATTTGTTGGTTCGTAGTAGAACTTTGGGAAGGCAGCTCGACAAAGACCGACCTTCATTGGGAGACGACAGCGAACTGAGGGGGAAGTGAAAGGACAGTAAGTGATAGCATGCCAACTGTCTAACACCTGTAAAAAAAACCATCCAATACCCGAAACCAACTAGGAATGATTGGCTGATTCCTGATACTCCTACACACAGACTCACCATGAGACAGATTTGTGTGTGTGTGTGTGTGTGTGTGTGTGTAGGGGGATTCTTTTACCTGACTGACTTTCTCACCTGAAACCAACAAGAAACCAAAACAGGGCATGTCCACCTAAACAAGTGTCTCTAAGTCGAGATAGGTTAACTAACACACACACACACACACACACACACACACACACACACACACACACACACACACACACACACACACACACACACACACCTCTCTCCTCCTTCTCCTCCTCCTGCTTACTCCACCTACCTTACTCCAGCTGGGGGAGGAGTCTTGCCCCTGCTCTTTTGTTAAGGAGAGTGGTTGTGTTTCATTCACTGCAGAGGACGTAACAGTAGCAACACAGCAGGCAGCTTACCATCATTCAGACTTGGTCATATTTTGCAAGGTTATGTGAGACTAAAATTGTAATTGTAGATGTTTTTGGATAAATTGCCCAGCTCTGGGTTGTTTCCGTGGCTTTAGATTGAACTCTAACAGGTTCTGAGGGGGTTACCCAGAATCAGCACGCTATGCTGTCTGAAACTCGTTCTATACTGATATGGTTTTGGATCTAATTCCATCAGATGGCCTTACAGTTGGGTGTTTCTCTTGTTTTGATGAAGATGGAAATTAGCCTTAGCTATCATGTTTCATGTCTTCTTCTCCTTGTCCATGAACTGGTACTGTCCTGTCTAAATAAATGAATAAATAAATAAATAAATAAAAGAAGAGGTAGACCTGTCAGGTTCCAGAAAAAGTCAGATGTCACATGCTGTGCTCTGACACGCTTAAACCTTAACAGGTGAGTCACTCTCATAGAACCAGACCAGCAGCATTCCTCACCTGCTCCCTCAACACAGGGCAGGAAGTTTGACATATCCTCAGGTTATAATCTGGTTATTATTTTTAACATCACATTGAGTAGTTACACCTTCATTTCTATATTCATATTATGTTATTCAAATTTATTTAAACAAATGAAATTTCAACAATTATTTCACCAGGAAGTCTTAAACAGCTGATATGCTTTTAATTTTCATGAAGGGTCTAAAATTAAATTCACCGGACCGAGACAAAATCTCCCAAAACTGAACTGAACTCCCAAAACTGATCTCGACCACTGAAAACAAGGCTGAGGGCATCTACATCACCATCATCATGATCACCATCATCGTCACAGTCATAAATATCATAATCATCATCACAGTCAGTATTATCATCACCATCTTCACAATTACGTCATCATCATTATCATCATCATCATTACCTTATTACTATCATCTTCATCATCATAACCATCATCATCAGCAACTTTCTCTTCATCATCATCACCATCACATTTATCATCACCACCATAATCTTTATCATCACCAATGTTTAAAATAAGGTTTAAATGAACTGGTTATTTCCATAAAATAAAATTTAACAGATTGTTTTATAAGAGTCAAATTGAACATTTTTAAGAAAGTTTAATTTAACAGAATATTTTCATAGAATGAAATTTAACATATTTTAATAAAGTTAAATTTCACAGATTATTTTAATGAAATCAAATTAAACAGATTATGTTTAGAAAAACAAATTTAACAGATTATTTCAATAAATTTAACATAACAGATAATTTTTTTTAAAGTGTACTTTTAGACACTTACCGTTGGAGTCCTCGTTGTTTTGGTTGTTGCTGGCTTTGAGTCTGGTTCCGGGCTCCAGCGACATCGGGCTGATATGCGGTCCGTCCCCGCCTGTCCCCGTGTGGTTTCGGGCCACACTGATCCTTGCTTTGCGGTAAACCCGGAGCTGAGCGCTGGGCTGAAGGGCGCATACGTCACGGTCCCCTACCACACAACGAACCATCAGACACTGCGGCCCTCCGTCCGCGGAGGGATCTACCACAACCAGGTCACAGTCTGACGCATCGCAGCACGCCTCTCTACAGGCCTCTGGCTCCAAAACCTTCCAGGCCTGGCCCAGGACCGCCCCGCGTTCCATGGATAACATACCGAGACCCTGATTCGGGTCAATGGATTTATCCCAGTCACAGTCCAGAGCCACACTGGTACAGACCAGGAAGCAGACCGCCCAGAGTCTGGAGTTGAAACGCGGGTCCATCGTTCTGCGGCGGGGTGCAGCGCGGGTCCGGGTCCGGATCAGGTTCGAAGAGAAACGGGCTCTGACGGTCCTGAGTTCTTTTGTTTGTTTTTTTACTTTTTTGTTCGTTTTTTCTTTTTCTTTTTCTTTTTATTTCCTGGGTGCGGATTGCCAGAGGAACGCGTGAAGGTTGCGCATGCAGCTGAAGGACTCACTTCCTGTATGGTGGCTTTGTGTTTTGACAGAGAAGTTAACCTGAGCAACAGGTAAGGTTACTGCGGCCCCACCCCCAGCAATGTCACAAGAAAAAAAAAGCCCACAGCAGCCAGAAACCCTGCCGTTTTTGTTACAATATTAGATCAGTTTGTAAAATCTCATCATTAGAATCATAAAAATGTCGCACAATGTGTTAAAATGCGTTTTTTGTAGGTCTTTTGTGAAGAAAAAAAAAATTATATATACGTATTTGGTTTAAGTGTTTGAAATGATCATCATTATACTATGAGTGCATTAAAAACGACAAAAAGACAGAAAGACTTAAGTAACGCTGCATTCAAACCAATATGTATTCATATATTAAATCTACACACAGCTGTACAGATATTCAATCATATCTACACACAGCTATACAGATGTTTAATTATATTTACACACAGCTATACTGATATTAAATCATATTTGCACACAGCTATACAGATATTTAATTAAATCAAGACACAGCTGTATAAATATATATGTAATCATATCTACACACAGCTGTACAGATATTTAATTATATCAACACACAGCTGTGGAGATATTTTATCATATCTAGACACAGCTGTACAGATATTTTATTATATCTAAACACAGCTGTAGAGATATTTAATCATATCTACACACAACTGTACAGTTTTTAATTACATCAAAACACAGCTGTACATAAATTATGCAATATTTTCACATAGGTGTGCAGATATTCAATTATAATTTGATACTGCTGTACAGATATTTATTAAGAATTACACACAACTTTACAGAAATATTATCATATTTACACACAGCTGTGCACATATTTGATCATATCTACACACAGCTATACAGATGATTAATCATCACACACAGCTATACAGATATTTAATTATATCTACACACAGCTGTACATATATTAAATTATATCTAGACGCAGCTGTATTGATATTTAGAAGTATCCACACACAGCTTTACAGATATTTAATATCTGCACACAGCTGTACAGATATAAAGTTTTATATAGACACAGCTGTACAGACATTTAATCATATCTACACATAGCTGAACAGATATTTACCTTTATCTAGACATAGCTGTACAGATATTTAATCATATCTACAAACAGCTGTACAGATATTTAACTATGTACACAGCTGTACACATATCTAATTATTTACACACAGTTGTACTGGTATAAAATAATATCTTCACACAGCTGTACAGATATATAATCATATCTACTGCCAGCTGTACAGATAATAAATTAACAACACACAGCTGCACAGATATTTTATCATATCAACACACAGCTGTACAGATATTAAAATATAAATACACACCTGTAAAGATTTTTCATCATAAATAGACACAGCTGTTCAGAGTTTAATTTATGTCTACACACAACTGTACAGAAATTAAAATAAATGTAGGCACAGCTGTACAGATATTGACTATGTACACAGCTGTACAGATATTAAATCATATTTCCACACAGCTGTTGAGATATTTAATCATCTTCAAACAGCTGTACAGATATTTTATTACAGCTGTACATATATTTAATCATGTTCACGCAGCTGTATTAGTATGTAATCATATCTACACACAGCTGTACAGATATATAATCACATCTACTGCCAGCTGTACAGATAATAAATTAACAACCCACAGCTGCACAGATATTTTATCATAAAAAGACACAGCTGTTTAAATATTAATTTATGTCTACACACAACTGTACAGAAATTAAAATAAATGTATTCACAGCTGAACAGCTATTTAATCATATCTACAAACATCTGTACTGATAGTGCTGGGCGATAGGACGATAGATATCGTGGGCACGATAGAAAATGTCTATCGTGCCATTTTTATTTTTATCGTTTCGGGCGATAGGCTGTATTTTATCCATAGGGCTTGTGCCATCAGATGATTCATAGTAACAACAACAATAATTGCACATTCAGTAAGTGTATTTGGTGTCGAACGGGAAAGAAAACAATATTTTCTTACAAAGAAAAGGATGCGTTGACATGTAGGCTCGCATTTCTCTTTCGATTTTGCGACATGACGCCGCTTTACGTGCCCTCTTCGTGTCCAGCGTCTCCCGCTGTTGCGGGTTACCTGGGTTACACACGTGAGGGGATCATTGTAAGCAGTGCTTAATTTGTGCCGGAGCAAGTCGGAGCGCGATCCGGGACCTCTTTTGATCGGATCCGGGACCTATTTCAGCCGCTCCTGCACCTGTTTCATCTGCTCCGGGACCTTCCCTGTAGAGGATGACATTTTGCGGGAATTCCCGTGGGTCACGTGATTCCCGCGGGAATCCCACGGGATGGAAGTCATTTTTTAATTAATCCCTTGATCGGGACGGGACGGGAAAAAAGGCAACGGGAGTGGGCAGGAGCGGGAACAACAGTAAAAGATGATCATTTTCAGCCGTGTTTAACAACCAGATGAACAACAGTAAAAGATGATCATTTTCAGCCGTGTTTAACAACCAGATGAACAGGTGCGTCCATTTTTGTAGTCATCTCTCAGTGTGAGCCAACACTCTTGACCGCGCTAGCAACACAAAAGAACTACAACAGTGGTTTGACTTCCTGTCAGCTGGGAGCGCGGCTGCGCATTTCTACCCTTCAAGCCAGCAGCGAGGAAACGTAATTTTGTGACATTCTGTAGTTTTTCAATCATTTCTGGAGTCGTGGCGAATCATATCACCTTACCTGTCTGCCCCTGATAGGCGAATAAAGCGCTCGGATTCATGCTCGGGTCTTGCTACGTGCTCCAAGAGTAAAGTAAACAATGATGGAGGCAGAGAGCAGCTATGGAGGAGAAACATCTAGCAGTGTGAACAACCTCTTCAAAACAGCCCTAAAGACCTACCTTTTTAATAAAGCCTTTGGTAAGTTTTCCTCTATGCTTTATGCTTTTACTACCTTGCCTCTTACATTGCAACTCTATATATATATTTTTTTTTTAATTCTTTTTTTATGCCAATCTGTGACTGTCATTCTATTGCTTTTTTATTGTTGCTGCTCTTTTTTTACTGTGTACTGTAGCACTTTGAGATTTTTTGTAAATGTAAAGTGCATTAAAAATTAAATTTATTATTATTATTATTATGATGGAGTGCTTTGGCTCACACTATCGGCGTTTTCTGTGAGTGTTGCATAACTTTGGGTGAGCACAGACATGAACGCACTTCAGCCACGTATTTATTTATTCATTTTTCTAGTTTTAAGTGCTGGTCTTGTACTGGTACTGTACTAGTGCAGCTGTATACACTTAAATTTTTCATAGAACTGAAAGCATACCATAGCTATATCGTGATATATATCGTTATCGTGATATAAAATGATCCATATCGTGATATACATTTTTTTCCATATCGCCCAGCACTATGTACTGATATCAAATTATATCTACAAACAGCTGTACAGATATTTAATATTTACACACAACTTTACATACATTTTATCATATTTACACACAGCTGTACAAATATTTAATCATATCTATGCATAGCTGTACAGATATTTAATCATATCAACACACAACTGTTCAGATATTTAATCATACCTAAGCATACCTGTACAGATATTTAATCATACCTAAGCATACCTGTACAGATATTTAATCATACCTACACAAAGCTGTACAGATATTTAATCATATCTACACACAGCTGTACAAATATATAATCATATAGCTGTACAGATATTTAATCATATCTACGCAAAGCTGTACAGATATTATATCAACACACAGCTTTACAGAATTTTTTTTATATTTACACACAGCTGTACAGATATTTAATAATATTTACCCACAGCAATACAGATATTTATTTAGTCCTACACACAGCTATACAGATGTTTTACTAAATCTTCACACAGCTGTACAGATATTAAAGCATATCTACACGAGTGGCGATTGCTCTAAGACTGCAAGGGAAGCTCAGCTTCCATTAAAATGTCTCCCCCCCCAAAAAAAAGAAAAAGTGGTGAAATACGTACTGCTGTGTGTACATTTCATTAACTAAATACGCGCTAGAAAGCCTTCATCTTTTGTTCAGAATCAGCCTCTTATCACACTGTGATAAGAAGCTGATAATCACAGGTAACTAGCACAACTTCGTTCTCTGTTAGGTTTAAAACCTGCTTGCATTTACCTGAAATAAAAAGGAGAAAGACAATGGATAAGTTTGAGTAATGGACAGAGATATGTTTTGGATATCTCAGTACCACACTGAGGGTTCTTTTTCTGTCCGTGCTCTTTTATTTAGTCCCTGGTTACATAATGTTTCTAAAGGGGTGGTAAATGGTGCAGCAAAGTAAACATTCTCATAAAGCATAATAATGAACACTTGTGAATATGTGAAGGTCAAGGCGGCATCTAATGAGCTCCTTCTGCTAACAGCGGCACCTCCTCAAAAACTCCCCACGATTTACTGCGGAGGATCCATCACTCACACACCCCCACCTGCTGATAGGAAAGACACAGTCACAGAAAACTGAAAGAACATTGTTGTGCTGTGTAGTAAATCTATTGGAGAGAGAAGTTATACACAGCTATACAGATGTTTTACTAAATCTTCACACAGCTGTACAGATATTAAAGCATATCTACACGAGTGGCGATTGCTCTAAGACTGCAAGGGAAGCTCAGCTTCCATTAAAATGTCTCCCCCCCCAAAAAAAAGAAAAAGTGGTGAAATACGTACTGCTGTGTGTACATTTCATTAACTAAATACGCGCTAGAAAGCCTTCATCTTTTGTTCAGAATCAGCCTCTTATCACACTGTGATAAGAAGCTGATAATCACAGGTAACTAGCACAACTTCGTTCTCTGTTAGGTTTAAAACCTGCTTGCATTTACCTGAAATAAAAAGGAGAAAGACAATGGATAAGTTTGAGTAATGGACAGAGATATGTTTTGGATATCTCAGTACCACACTGAGGGTTCTTTTTCTGTCCGTGCTCTTTTATTT